TCTTAACTACCCGTGAACGCATAGAAGTGAGTCGTTACGCGTGTTTGTGTGCAGAGATATAACAGTTTCAAGGTCACAAAACTGGGATTCGGGGCTGGCAGCTGGCCTTTGGCCGTGAGACAAAATGGAGGGGAACCCATACACACACGGCCATGAGACACACGTGTGTGTGTGTGTGCGGCAATTTCAAGTGCAAATATTGTATTTGAAAAAAGAAAAACATTATGCAATTAAAAGGCAATTCTGCACAATTCCCACACACATAGTACGATATTATCCAGCTCTGGGGGAAAGGGTCTAAAAAACAGTTAGTTCTTGTTAATTACAGCTTCCATAAGTTAAAGTACATGGGAGTTTAACTTTAGGAAGGAAAAATAAACATAAATGTGGTGAATATATGTATATGTATGTAAAAGCAGGGGGACTTAGGGAAAGGGTTTTGTGACCTCATATATTTCTTATATATTTCTCATATTTTCCTTAAATATTCCTCATATATTCCTCAAATATTGGATCCAAGGCTTTAAGATATCATCACTATATTTTATAAAATGTTTCCTCAGACAGAAAGTTTTTCTTCAATATTTCAATATTTTATATGTTTCCTTAGGCAAAAGGTTTTTTTTTTAAATATATTTAAAATCTAAATGAAAAGGATTAAGCTAACGATGGATTTGTTAAGGTAAAAGATGATCTTTGTTCTACTTACTTACCTAAGTTCTGTATAAAAATATAGAAGTTCCTTCTAGGAAACCCTGATATACAATTGTATATTTCAATAAACTTATCCTTGCCCGAATTCCCTATTTACTATAATGTTGTTAGCCAAGGTAAACATGTTTTTGAAATCCACTAGCAACCACTTACCGCATTTATCTAAGCAGATGCGTGTTTATAAATAGAAATGGCTCAGTTTCCGCTTGGCAAATTAAAGTCAATTTCGTGGCGATAACCATGGACGATGCCAGGGGCTACCGCCCACTTGATGGCACCGATGGGAACTTTAAACTGTTAACAGTTTGTTTGTTTAGGGCCGTGTCCACGTCTTTGGCTTTGCCGCCTCTTTGCGGGCCAAAGTAAATATTGGATTTCCACTGCAAGCCAAAAGGGCGGCAGTAGAACAAAGCAACGTTCAAAGTGGAGTGGCATCTGCTGATGACGTTGTGGCCCCCAATGGGGTTTGGGTTTGTCCTCTCACCTACTCTCAGCACGAACGAGTGTGTGTGTGTGTGCTTGGCAGTTGTAAAAGGAATCCCGGACAGCGCAGACATATATATCTATATAAATTTAATCAAGTGGCCATCGTTTATTTCCCTTTTGATTTCGGCAAATTCAATTGACATTCGATTTTATTATCTCCACTTCCCCTGAAACCCACTCAATGCTTTTGCTCTACAATTATTACACGCTTTGTAAATGCATTTCATAAATTTATGATGCCAGCAGATGACCATTTCCTCGAGGGATATCCCAGGGATGTGTAATAAATACGATTCCCTGTTTTTTGTGGGTCTTGTGTGTATTGGAAATATTTCATATATCATTGTCGTTTTTCCACATAGCACAAATATCTCATTTTATATCTCATTTTGCCATTTCAAGCGGGAATTTCTGTGGCATTGTCTGGTCCTTGTCCTGGTCCTGGTCCTGTCCCCAGCCCAAGTGTCCTTTGGCCCAGGACTCCATTGCGGTCTCTTGTTTGCAGCAAGCAACCGGGCGAGTTTATTGCCATCCTGGCCACGGCACATAGATTTTAATTAAGTCCACTTTCCCCCAATTTAATATTTACAGAGATGGTGTTAAGCAGGGAAACTTTGCGCTAGGTTAGGGGGAGTACTCCGCCACCCAAAAGTTGGACAGCTTCACCCCGCTCCAAAAAATTAAAGTTCAAGTGGCAAGTAGCGCAAACTTTTGCTTTCTGCTGCCGCTGGAAAATTCGTTGAGTGGAACAAACAACGTCTTGAGGCTGAAATGAAAAGTGAAAAGTGCTTTTCCCCCCCTGTAGCTAAGAGAGCAGCCGCACAGTAGGTCAAAGAGAGCGCACCTTGCATGCTCTCTCACAGAATTTCGGAGTAACTCCGAACATAATATGGCCTTTAGCGCCCACAAGTGGTTGTTGCCCATTCAAAGGAGAGAGAGTGTGGGTTATGGGGGTTTTCAGGTGGGACAAGAGAGTCGTCGTCACCGATGGGAGTTGGGGGAAATGCAGACTGCAAATTCCATAAATTGAGAGACCCAAAAACGCAAAGATTAGCATTAAAGCATTTTCTTTTGAGCCAACCTAAGAGGGAGGGGGTATTTTCGAAAATTCTTAGCCAATTAGTTTGGCATTTTGAATAGTAGTAAATGAAAGGAACACATCTAAGGTTGGCCAATAGGTAAGGTTAATCTAGGTGAACATAAGATTAAGTGAAGGATTTAGCATGGAATATATATACACAAGGAGAAAAAGAAGTTAACAAATCCTTAAAATGAGATGATAATTGCAGGGTATTATAATTTCAGTCAAAAGCTAGTAAGACAGTGAAGGAGTCATTTCCGACTCTATAAATCATATATATTCTTGATCGGCATTAACAGGAGAGTCTTTCTAGCTATGTCGGAAAGAAAAACATTTTTTTCAAAATTTCAATATTTTATAAGGGGTTACATCATTAAAATTGTCAAAAATTGATCCAAAAATTAATTTCCTAAAATTTTAAATGCAGTATGCAGATTTTTAAACCTTATAAAAACTAACTCAGAACTTCTTTCAGAATTAAAATTAACACATTTTTGGCTTAGTTATAACATTTTTAAGCTTTACTTTTCCCAACAAAAATTATTATATAAAAATAAGGATAAGTATTTAAATTGCAATACCCCTTTGCGGGTAAAAATATGGTTTATATATTTTTTTTAACACAATTTTAAAATTTAAATATTTAAAAATAATAAAAATATATACATTTTATATAAAAACCCTTTAAATTATAATAGTTTCAAGGTAATAAATCCCATTTACAGTCAAATTTTTCCTCCCTCTGTAGGCACACAGACCCGGAGCCGCCGCAAATGTCGGCAAAGCAACGACAACAATGGGCAGCTTTTGACAGACGGAAAACGAGATGCCCGGGATGCTGGGGACGCGGGGAGGATGACGGGGTTAAGCGACGGCAGGACGAATCCGCTTTTGTTTATCTACTTTAAACTAACATCAGGCACTTTTGCTATCTAATCCTGACCAACCCGACAGCTACTTAATGTCATCAGTGTGCCACTCGCTGGCATTTTCAACAAGGACATTTGAAAGTGCACAACGAACGGCCCGAAGGATAATGGAGGAACGAACGAAACATAGAGGTCGACGACGCTAAACGCCTCGCATAGAGCTCAGATTCGGCAAGCGCAAATTGAATAATCGTTTGCGCTTGGTCGCATCCACAAAAAGGAAAGGAAAGGACCTTTTAAAAAGCGGCTCCCTTTTGTGTCCCAGTGTTTGTGTGTGACAAATATCGATCATCAAGGACACACACACACACACTCCAAGACACAATTGTTTGGGTTTATTCTAACGCTCCGCAAAACTTCTGACCGAGTTGTCTGAAGAGTTTTCCTTTGCCAGCTTTCCATGCGAAAAACTTTTGGTCGTCCCCTGAATTGTCCCCTGTTTTGTCAAGTTTGTCATTTGTTGGACATTTATAAGCAAGTCTAGAGATTTGGGTGCGGGCTACTGGCCAGGGCCATGGCTATGGGCGTGGGAAAGGTCCTGGTTCTGGTCCAGGGCTGCGGGTCTCGTTAGCATACATTGAAGGCGGTTCCTTGGTTTTTGTTGCCAAACTCTCAAGTAAATGAAATTGAATGCCCATTCCCAAAGAGTTTAACTCAACTGTAAGAGCTTTAAAAAGTATTTTCAAGTTCGGAAGTAGCACAGGAGAATGTATAATTCATTTGGGAAGAGCTCAGGCGTTCTTGGTCCAGTGAAGGAGAGCAGAAATTAAGGATTAGGAATGTTAAGTGGTTAATTTTCACTTACTGTGGGGGTTTATTTTAGAAAGTTTTCGTCAAGTTAAGTTAATTAAATTTGAGACGTTAATTCTAGAAAAAAAGGGGTTAATTAATTATTTGAGTAGTTAGTTTGAATAGCAATGTAAACACAAACAGGTTGATTATTATAAAAAGTGTATCATAGTTTAAATGTTATAACTTAAAAATTTCAGAATATGTTCTTATGTTTCTCCTTCTAGAATCCTTAATGCCTAATGCTCTACTATTAACTTTCCTTTTTATTTGGCCGCCCGCCGGATAAATTGCAGCACATTTTTCTGCGCTTGGAACTTTGATCCCCCTTGCTTATGCCGGAGAGCACTTTTCACTTAGCCAAAAAACTTTGGCCAACAATAAACCAAATAGCAGTGCCAATGTGTGCGTTGAGCTTCTCGAATTTGTCTTGGATCGATTCCCTGGAGCTCGAGAGGATTCTTTTGGGCGAAAGGCAAACACTGAGCACACGGACTTAACTTTCGCCGGATGCCAGACTGCTGCTGCTCCACAGCCTTGGGCGCTGGCCTTTTGGCAGTTGGAATAAATAGTCGCACGCCTGCCCACCTGGGCAGGTGAGCATGCCACCGAGATACAAAGATACAAATATGTGCATAGCATTTACGACTGGCCCTGGCCCTGGCTGCACGTGTGCTCCTAGCTAGGTTTTTGGCAGATAAAATTCAATTTCGAGCCATTGACAAACAAACGTGATGAATTCCAGGAACAAGGATATAACAGGGAATTAATGTGCCATCCCCTCAGAAGGTCGTCCTGTAAAACCCCATTCATTTAGGGGAAAAGCATAGCTCCGATGCTTTGTGATTTTTATGTGACCATAAATTGCCAGCATCGCCGTCGTATCTATCTCAATCCTTTTGCTGATGTCCCTCTGTAAGCTGTGGTTATTTATGGTCAAAAGATAGATTCTCTGCTGGCTGTTGGCACATAAATATAGTAAATAAAGGAGACAGGGTCGATTGTTTTCCAATTTGTGTAATTTGTTGTTTATTTTTGTTTATAACTACATCAATAAATTATGTATCGTATCGTATAATTCATAATTATACTCTTTGAAAGCGTGAGAACATATTGGAATTGCATTTCGGCAGCTGGGGTTTCCTGATTCTGGTCTCTTTTTCACTTGGAAATCTTGTTATCTGTTCATTTCGGGGCGCCTGTGATATATATGGTATCGTGTTAAGTTTTAGCTTCTCCGTTTGGATGTCAGGGTTCTGATTTTCAAAGAGTATATGCATAAGTATTTTCGAGACATCGGCCAGCCGAAGATTTGTTGATTTCTTGATTAACTTTGATGACAACATCGAAGATCGCTTGTGGGCTACTGTCAAAGAAGTTATACTAACAAGATGAGTAACCCCATACTCTTAGACCATTTAAGAATTCAAATGTATGTGCGTTATGCATCTTGTTATTGTAAGATCTTTGCTACTACTAAGAACCGCCTCTCTTTGCCTTTTCCTTCAACACTTGGACACTTGTTGCTGCATTTTAGCTTGATATATCTGCTGCTGTTGCAATAATCTCTGCTCGAGTTACAATATTATAATCCATACCTAATTTCTCGTACATATTTCTTAGCTTGCGTGCTACAATTGGCTGGGGGATCGGTTAGCTTCTGTGTGTGTGTAGTGTGTGAGTGGTGCTTGGTGTGTGGTGCGTAGAACCGAATTAATAAGGCCACTTATCCATATATATTTGTGTATATAGTAAATAGTCAGTAATGCACTCGAAACGCAACTGATAAACCCTTTCTTCAAGTAGCTTCACTATCGCTCTCCTGAAAAAAATCGCTCTAACTGCTAGCCTTAAACTAAAGTGGCCTTTAGGTATTATTTCAAGTGTCAATTGTGTGTGGTGTGTGTGTGTTGGGTGAGAGAGAAATTCCATAAATTTGTTGTGTATGTATTTTGTTGTGCCAAAATTTCGTGTTGAATATTCTTCTTGTTCTATCCAATATTTCTGTAATTATTTGAGGCTTGCGCTAGTATTTAATATTGAACAATACTCGTGTTTTGTTAGTTAATAATTATTAGTTCCGATTAAGGTTTAAGGATTGGTTTCACTTGTGGTTGCTTTCTGGTAGTGCGGCTCTTGCTTCTCTAGTTTGCGGCTACGATTTCATGGATACTAATGTCGATCACTAAGCCGAGAGGATACTCTAATTAACTACATTCTCATTATTGTTATGTTCAGCTCAAGTTATCTGCCTCCATGTACATTTTACATATACGCTAATAAAAAACCATCTGCGATCGATGGATCGACTCCAGTTCATTTAACTATATGTGTACGCTACAAATGTATATATATGCCGATGATTCGCCTCTTGGCTAAATGTACAATAACAGATATACGTCTATATATTGGGGCTTTACTCTCGCCTTTTCTGTGCCTCGCTTCGATTTCGATTTCTTTTTTTTTTCAACTGAATGGGGATCGAGCACAGTCGACCCTATATACAGGATTCGTGGGGACGTGGTCGTACATGGTATAATTTCATATTGTAGCAAAGAAAATACGTCTAATTGTCGATGTAAAACACAGGAAATAAATTAAGTGCTGGCGTATGTAAAACTAAATCGAATGGATTCTTATTGACATTAAAAGTAACTCAAGTAGCTGGGAGCTGGAGCTGGAGCCGGAGCATGTAGATAAAGCGATGGCTGGTTGTTGGCTGCTTTGCCTCTTCCCCCTTTAGTGATTGCTAAAGTAAAAGTTGTTGTTGCGTATGTGGCCACGGGTCCGCCAACGGATGCAGCTAAGCAGGGCCACGCGGGCAGCTCGAAGCAAGATCTGTCCATAGGCGCAACAGGCGCACACCCGCCTCACCCGCTCGGCCAAGGTTCGGCGCCGACAACGGCGCGCAGGGCGATGCCAACGTGGTAGATCCTGCCGGCGACGCCGCAGCAGATGTCACTTCCGGCGCTGGAAAACGCGACGAATGGCCTTGCGCCAGAAGAAGCGCTGCGACTTGGGTTTCACATGCGGCGCCGCCGGCTGCGACTCTTCCAGCTGCACATCGAAATCCTCCACCAAGTCCGGATCCTCATCCTGGGCAAGGCGACGTCGAGTGGGCGTGGCAGGCGCTGTCCTTGCCGTGCTTGAGGGGGCTTCAGAGGTTGTATGGGGCTGTGGAGTGGGTGGGGCGGATGCAGTGGCCACAAAGGGTGGCACCAGATAGGGATGTGCCTTTAGCGCTGCCCTGGCTGCCGCCGAGGTGGAAGCAATGGATGAAATTGAGGCCAGAGTGGCCACCGAGGCGGAGGACTCCATGTAGCCCCCAGCTGCTGCTTCTGCTGCCTCCTCTCCAACTCCAACTCTGGCTGTTGCTGGCTGGGTGGCGTGCAGCCAACAACCAGGCTGCATCGTATCTTATCTAAGCCACGGATGCTGCAGACACTCAGCAGCGGTGGCTCGCTTGGCCGGATCAAACTCCAGCATGGGCTTGAGGAACGAGGCAAAGGACTCCGCCTCGCTGTGCGACCACTCGTACTTCTCCAGCAGCACGTCCATCAGGCCCCAGGGTTTCAGGCCGTTAATATTCCTCAGCTCGCCGCCTCGATTGAACGACTGCTGGGCGTAGGTGCCACGGAACACAATGTGTCGCGGTATGGGTCCAAGTAGCTCGATGATGTGAGCCAAATGGTCCTCGTCGCGGGAGTAGGTATCGCCCGAATGCGGCTCAAACAGATAGTCACCGGTGGCCAGTTCAAACACCATGCAGGCGGTACTCCAAATGTCTGCCGAGGTGTCGTAGCCAGAGCCCAGGATCACCTCCAGCGAGCGGTATTGTCGCGTCTGAATGTCCTCGGTAAAGTGTCTGTCCACCCAACAGGCATTGCCTAGATCGGCGATCTTCACGTAAACGCTGCACTCCTCCAGCGCTGGATCACGTCTTGGCCTGTGCTTGGCCTGTGGTGGCGGAGGAGGCGGTGGCAAAAGGGGCTCCGAGTACGGTCCATTGGAGGACGATCCGGATACGCTTGAGATTTTCGAATTACTGTTCGAGTTGGGCTTCGAACTGGTGTTGTTGTTGTTCAACTGCTGCTGCTGCTGCTTCTCCTGCTTGGGTCTTAGCGGCATCTTCTTGCCATTTGATTGTCCCTTCATGGTGTTGCTCGAGTTGCTGTGGCTATTGGAGTTACTGTTGCTATTGATGCTACTGCTGCCATTGGTCTGGTGGCTCTTTAAAGCACTGCTGCTGTCGCCGCTGCTCGTTGAGTTCTCCAGTGGGAGCGGCTGCTGCTGCTGCTGTTGCTGACCTTGCAGCTGATTGGATTTGTCTAAAAAATAAAGAAAAATATACTAATTAGTAGGTAAAGCATAGATTTTAGATTCTGGAAAGTACATTATCAGTCTTTGTCTTGTTTTATGGCTTCCTTATCACTGCCTTATCGCTTTGCCTTTAATTCCTAAGCTTTAATTTGAATTTAAATGCTATTTTTAGTGCCGGAAAGCAGTCAACCTTATGATTAATGCTGTTTTTCTGAACAATTAAGAACAGCAAACATCTGTTGAGGTACTAAAGCTCCTCTAAAAAGCTTCACAGAATGAAAAGAAACTACTTTTAGTTTTTAAACTAAGACCCATGAGTGCCTTGAGTCACTTAAAAATTGTATAAAAAAATAAACTTACTCTTATTCTTCTTTTTCCTCTTCTTTTTGGCCTTCTCCGAGCCCTCCCCCGGTGGTTGCTGCTGCTGATTTTGCTGCTCCTTGCGCTCTGATTTCTCCTTAAGCTTAGGCTGCTCAGCAGCCACATCTTCGTCCTCTTCTCCATCATCTTCATTCTCCTCCGGCTCCTCCTTAGCCTCAAAATATTCATCCGCATCCGAGATGCCCATATCGCCATTCTGCACCGCATTATGATTGACACCAAAGTCTGTTTGATCTTCGCCAGCATCAGGCGGCGCCTGTCCGCCAGCCTGCTCCAGATAGTCGCGCTGCTTCTTGAACAGCTCCATGCGCTTCTTGGCCTTCTTCTTGAGCTTCTTCTTGCGATTCTTGCTCATCTTACCGGTAATGGAGGGCTCGCGATACTCCTTGGGCGCGCGACTCACCAGCGAAGGGTACATTTTGGAGTTCATGCAGTACAGCTGGGTGGCCTCAGTGGCCAGCGAGCGGACATGTGGCTCATCCACACACAACAGCACATTCTCCGGCTTGATGTCCGTGTGAATAATCTTGCAGCAGGTGTGCAGATAATCCAAACCCTCCAGAACCTGGCGAGTGATGGTCTTCACGTTGCCCAGCGGTATGCCGCGATAATTAGACTTGCGGATGAGCTTCAGCAGATTATCACCGAGCACCTCGAAGACCATGCAAATGTGGGTGCCATTGACCCCGGTGATCTTGAAGTCATCCAGCATCTGGACGGTCTTTTGGCGTCGCGGATTCGAGGGATCCGTTTCGCGCACCGTCCTGAGTATCTTGATCTCGTCCTTGGCCGTCTCGGCAAAGTGTGGAGCGGACTTGACAATCTTGATGGCCACATAGCTCTTCTCCTGCAGGTCCCAGCACAGCCAGACGGTGGAGAAGTGGCCCCAGCCCAGTTTTCGGATGACATGGTAGCGACCTGTAGGAGGAAAAAAAACACACACAAAAAATTGCATTACACGTGTGGCTCTTAACGGATTACAGAAATCGGGAGTTGGATGGATGGTTGGTTTGGGATGGGCGTAGCCTCTCGTAGGTACACAGAACCACTCAGAAAAATTAAATCACAAATGTTCGCCTCTGCTGGCAATAAATCCATTTTAATCGCATCACTGTCACATCACAACTGACCCAGCCAGCGAGGGCTACTCGCCTCCTCTTCTCCGCCAGAATTCAATTAAAGTCTGGGAGAGCTGGGTAGTGTGGTCATTGTGCCTCACTTCAAATTCACAGCGAACATGGGCCTAGTGCAGGGCACTGGAAATCTGATTTTGGGGAGGAGATTTCATTATTTCGTTAAGTTTCTTTCTACATGAAAAGTGTAGAAATGGGAAAGTATAACTTGGTATTATTATTTACGTATAAAAACGATAGGTATAAATAATTAAAATAGGAATAAATACCCTACACAACAATAGATTTTGTTAATAGAAAAAAAAATTATAAATACAAAACCAAAAATTATAAATAAATATATATATATATATATTTATTTTTTTGTTAACTTAATAAAATTAAAAAAAATAAATGCTTTCGAATTGAAATGAATTAAGTTTTAGCTTCGGCTTCTCTGTTTTTTGTTATCGTTTTTTTATAATATCGATACAAATAATATACCGATTATATCGAAAATAATCGTAATTTTCGATACTTCAGCTTAACTAATGCAATCCCTTTAAAAACTACCTTTCTACCTGCATCCCTTAATTCTCAGTCCGATTCCCACAACGATATAAAAGAAAACATAGTTGCACTAAATATGCATTCTGGTATCAAGCTACTTTGTGTAACCTCACTGCTGGCCGTTATCAGGCCCACACTCTCTTATCGCCAGCGAGCGATTGCCCGGATTTTCTTTCGCCAGAGCTGATGAGCCTTGCAAATGGATTGGGGAGGAATGTGGAAAGCTGGCAGCTGGCGAGGCGAAAGCAAGGGAAATGAGCGAGGAAATGCAAGCTGAAAATGCTGTGCCAAAAGGGGTGTGGGCATGCGGTTTATGTTGGAGACATCGTTTGGAGGCGACAGTTAACCATTCCCCTTCTTATTTTTCCCCCTATACAGTTGCCAGTTGTTGTTGTCGTCGCCACAACACGAGGCGGTGGGTGGTGGAGGGAGGCAGCAACATCGTTCGCTTGGCCTCCACCAAAAAAAGCAACCCTTGCCCGCTAAAAGGGAGCTGGGCCAAAATCCACCCGCTGTGCGTTCGATTTATCTGTGCGCCTCGGGGCAACCTGTTGTTGTTGTTGGTTTCTGGGTCGGAGAGTGCCAACATGGCCACCCAAAAAAAGCAAAACCAAAACCGAAACCCAATGTGTGGTTAGGAGATAAACAAAATGGCAGGGAGAAGGTGGAAACCCGATTTGGTAGAGTGCGGGGTGCAAACAGGTGCCTTACCCTGAAACAGGTCACCGATGTTGACGGGGTGGTAGCCACCCTTGCAGTAGTCCTCCTTCAGCTCCTGCTCCTCGTTCTCGCTGTTTAGCTCCGATTCGTACGACTCGTTGGAGCTGCTCCGCGGCGGCTGCTGCAGTTGCTCCTTGTTGTGCTGCTGCTGCTGCGACTGCTCCTTCTGCTGCTGTGGCTTCTTTTGCTGATTGTTCTTGGACTTGCCGGAGGATTCCTGCTGGTATTGCTCGGGCGTGCTGCCGCTGGACGTGGACGCCGTCGCTACAGCTGGTGTGCTGCCAACGCTGCCCGTTAGCGGCATTTTCGCCTGGCTATTATTAGCATTGTCCGGTGCCTGCAAGTTCTCGCTGCTCCTATTCAGATTGGGGCTCTGGTTCGGATTGGGATGCGCCGGCGGCGGCGGCTGCTCCTGGGAGGCGTTGCCGTTCTGCTTGCCCCGCTTCTTGTTGTTCTTATGGCGCTTCTTCTTCGCCTGAATGGCCAGAACGCGGCGGTTGACGTCAGCCTTCGAGTTCATGTCGCTCGCGGTCGCTTCTATTTTTTTATTCTATCCCCGATTCCTCCTCTTCCCACCAGGTGTAACAGCTGTTGTGTGTGGCGAAACGGAATAGAGAAGTGAGAAAAGAGTATGAACGGGGCGGGGGGAGCGGTATGGCGAAGGAGTGGGGCTCAGGGAGAGGCGGAGAGCTGGCAGCAACGTGCACAAATCTCAATAAGGCAATGTTCACGCTTGTCACTCGTTGTTTTTGTTGTTTTTGGCCGTTTCCTCTCCCCCTCTGTATTCTTTTCCTTTTTTTTCGCCAGCTTCTGGGGCTTTGCCTTTGGTGTGAAAACGCTAAGCACACGGTCAGCGGAAACGGCGAAAACAACGGCACGGGGGTCTACTTGCCTCGGGGCTTCCACTTGTTCCCAATTAACACGGCGCTGATTCGATTTCTGCACGCAAAATTAGCACAAAAAATTTCGCTAAACTCCAAAACGCTCGATTCCAGTGTGACCGCAGCGGGGCTCTGGAAAAATACTGAAATCTATTAAGAACGCGGTCTGGCAGCACTAGTGCGTTCTTGAGCAACACACATTGCCAGATCGAACCACAACGTAACGTTGCTGCTGAACTGTTCCTTTCCAACACTGCAAGATTTGCTGTCTCGCTCACTCTTTCGTGCCTTATTCGTTTGACATATTTACGCAGCTTCGAATGCCCCAAAAACGTACATGGCTTCGCAAGTGCCGCGCACTAGTCCATTAACATCTCGGTTCGCCAGCGTCGCCCAGCGCCCGCAAATGCAGCCGAAATGAGCAAAATTACACGCACAACAACAACAAATCCGCAACTAAAATTTTACTAGTGATGGGAAACACGAAATGGTGTAACCGTGAGCTATCGATAGTGAATACATCGGCGCTACCAGACAATACAGCTGTTCGGCCAGTGCTGCCAAGTCTCCGTTGTGGCGCACTTTCCAGCACTGCTGGCGTTTTGGCGCAATTTTAGGTTTTGGAGGGAAACTGCATCCAGTGAAAAATCGTGGCCAGTTGTAATTCGAGCAGTGCGCTGGCACGACGTGGTCCAATATTAAGAAAAAAATCAATTAGCAAGCAGACCCCTCGCCAAAGATCAATTACCGGACGTGCCCAACAGTGAAATAGCCAAGAAGTGCCCGCAACAACAAGAGACGCCAAGCTGCAATCGCAAATAGGAATAATAAATACACACAAACAATGGCCCAGCCATCGGTAGCTGCATTTTTCACCAATCGCAAGCGTGCCGCTTTGGACGATGCGATAACCACCAAGAACAGGGTAAGCTAACCGCCCCAGAAACGTGCCCAGATACATTTGTATCTGCGAGTGCGTGCCCCGAGTGCAGCCATTCTCACCGACGCTTCTTCTGCATCTTCCCCCTCCCCTTGCAGCGCCTAGCGGAGCCCCTTGAATCCGCCGCCCCACAGCAGTTACCTGCTGCAGCCCCTGCTGACCAGGATGCGGACATCGACATGCTTAAGGCGGCGGCCAGTGGGATGCGCACCCGTTCCGGCCGCAATGTACGCCTGATAGTCACCGCCCAGGAGGGCGGCAAAAAGAAGAGCACAGCACCCGCCGCCGGCAAGCTGGAGGCGCACATCAAGCAGCCCAAGCTGGTGCAGTTCATCAAGAAGGGCACCCTGTCGCCGCGCAAGCAGACGCAGTCCAGCAAACTGGATGAGGATCAGCTGCTGCAGCAGCACTCATCCATCAGTGAAGTGACGCCCAAGGTGAACTTCAACATAACCAGCCAGCAGAATGCGGACAATGTGCAGCGTGGCCTGCGCACGCCCACCAAACAGATCCTCAAGGATGCCTCGCCCATCAAGGCCGGGGGAGTGGATTTGCGACGCCAGCTGACCTTTGACGAGGTGAAGACCAAGATATCACGCAGCGCCAAGATGCAGGAGCTGAAGGCAGTGCTGGCCCGCAAGGCGGCGCTGGAGCAGAAGCGCAAGGAGCAGGAGGAGCGTAACAGGAAGCTACGCGAAGCTGGCCCCTCGCCCTCGAAGTCGGGAGTGAGTGTGCAGCTCAAGGAGTTTGATACCATCGAGCTGGAGGTGCTGACGAGGTGAGTTTTTGATTATTTAAAATTGGTTTTAGTTTTGAGAGATTATCCTTTTATCTTTATAATACCTAACTTTCTTGCTTCGTCACCCTTTTATCCTTTTAAACTCCCACTAATTCATAAAAAATATTCAACTTTGTCATCATAAAACAAGCCAATGTAACTTTATTTTCTAAATTTAAACCTAGAGAGAGAGATATGTGCCTGCCACAACAATTTTGTCTTGGCTTGGGTGGCCTAGAATCGACATAAACAAACCCAACCACGGAGTGTGTAGAGAGAATAAAAAAAAATAGTATAAAAAACCGGGTAACATCATTTTAGCGAAAGGCCAGCCGTTGCTGGCAGTTCTGCTGCTATCGAGGTCGCTCTCCGGGTCGCTTCGGTCTCCGGCTCTGACTGCTGAAGTTGCACATTTCCAGCAAACCGAAGAAGCATAGTAGTCACCGCTTGGCTTGGCTTTGAGTCTATAGCTATTTTCGGTTGCTGATTCGTGACGTCTGTACAACATGCCGAATGACCCTCCCCCTTCCTCCCTACCCCAGCTACGTGTGTGTGTGTGTGTGTGTGTGTGTGTGTATAGCTATGTTTACCCTTCGCCAGACATTACTTATCTGGTCTGACCTTCCCTTTTGGAAAATGCCCGCATCGGGGGTTGCTTACTCTCTCTCTCTCTCTCCTTGGAAAGGATCTCCTAACTGCTGTACTGCATGGGAATGCGAGTCACTATCCGGGATCTGTGTACATGTGCCTGTGTTTATGTTTGTGTGCATTTTCAGGTAGCAACCATTTTTTTTGTAACGGTTTTCTTATGCCTTGAAGAAAGGAGGGAGGATGGTTTCTAAGGATCTTATGGTTTCTATTTCAAATAGGAAAAGGCACAAAACAAGAGATTTTTTAAAGTTGGTTTTTTAAATTGAAAACTTAAAGAAGAAAAGAAACTTCTATAAGGGAATTGGATCTTGAAAATCGTTCTAAGTCAAAAACCCATTTGACTGAAATTCTAATACTCTGTAAGGTTATAAAAACCCTTCTATGAAAGTATTATAATAATATAAAATAAAATTATTAATAATACTACATTTCCCTAACTAAAAACTCTCACAATTAACTTCTCTTAATAAATAAATATGCCTTCGTCTCGTTTTGTTTGTTGTTTTTTTATAATTTAACCTTTTAATTATTGTCTCAAGCCTTACAATTCCACATGTAGATATTTTTATTGAACACACCTGTTGGCTATTTTTAAAAATAAAATCCACCTTCATCATAAATACTTGCTACATTGTTTAATCTCCCCACTCTTGCTCGCTTCAGCCCCCTTAAAACCTTCAAGACACCCACGAAGCTACCGCCACCCACACCCGATAAACATGAGCTCATGTCGCCCCGGCATACGGACGTGTCCAAGCGTCTGCTCTTCAGTCCGGCCAAGAATGGTTCACCGGTCAAGCTGGTGGAGGTGCCGGCCTACAAACGCTACGCCAGCCTGGTTGAGGGTAGCCGTGCGGGACAACTCCCCTTGCCGTACAAATACCGCCACTTGCTGGATGTCTTCAAGGGCCTGGACTCGGTGGTGGCCATGTTCCACAACCGCAAGGAGTGCATCACCTTCAAGAAGCTGAAGCCGGCGGTGCAGCGCATGTTAAGGAAGAACTTTACGGAAATGCATTTGGCCCAGATTCGGCACATCTACCCGGAGGCCTTCATCTTCAGCCAGATGAAGATGCGCAACTTTGGTTCCGTGTCCAAGGCGGACTACTTCCAGCTGATCATCAGCCCCAATGTGGAGCAGGTGCCCGCCGAGCAGCAGCCACAGCGCTTTGCCAAGATCGATGAGGACGATGTGCTCTCGTCGGCCCAGTCGACGTCTATGAATCCACACGTCATGACGGCGCGCATGCAGCGCTTCCAGAGTCTGCTGCTCGATCGGGTGATGCGGGCGCACGACCAGTTCCTCCGCTCCCAGGATCCGCCTATCATTATTGATAAGGCGCTGACTCGCTGGCATCCGCAGTTCGATCTGGAGAGCTGCCCGGAGGTGGAGCTGGCCCCGCTGCCCCAGCCCCCGAATGTGGAGAAGTACTCCTCGGCCAAGGATATCCTGTCCACGGCAAGGAATCTCTTCAACTGTGCCACGCCCATGGAGCGAGCCATGGATCGTTATGAGGCCAAGTTGGAGGCAGACAAGCAGCAGGCAATGGAAGGCAATAGGAAAGCGGAGGAGGAGGGCACAAGCAATGCAAGCACGGAAACCAAGGGGATCCCCGGAATATCAGCAGCAACTGGAAATCCGGTTGTTCCTTCAGCAAGCAAGACAGCGGCAATAAGCGACCAAACAGCCACAGCCAAGCCCACGGTGAAGGAGTGCACCGCCCCGGATGGCGCCTCCAATCTGCTCAAGGGCTTGCCCAAGTCGCTGATTGAAAAGATCCGAGCCAAGCAAGCGGCCAAGGCATTGGATGCCATGACAAGGAGACCCTCACAGGACCAGGAGGCCACCAAATACTCCCGCCTGCCGGAGCTGGCCAGGCATCTGCGCAACGTGTTCGTGACGGAGCGTAAGGGAGTCTTGCCTCTAGAGATAATCATCAAGAAAATTGAGAACAGCTTCCGAGCCAATCTCACGCCGCAGGAGATCGAAGCGCATCTGAAGCTGCTGGCCAAGGAGCTGCCCAGCTGGACATCCTTCCACGAGGTCCGCAAGACCATGTACATCAAGGTGGCCAAGGACATGGACATGAACAAGATCATCGAGAGGCTGGAGAGCAAGGCGAACGCGAAGAGCAATTAACCAAGTAAGCAGCCAGGACGCGGGACCCCGTCGAGCAATGACCCAGCTACACATATCTATAAGTACCAGATTAGGCTAAGCTCCTCCTGTTCCCACAACATCTGACCATTATCCATTGACACTATGACATACCAGGACTGGAAGCATCATCACATTGATTACTCAATCATATTTTTCGGACCAAGCGTTTATACATTTATACTTTTTTTTAGATTTAAGATCATTTTTCGTGTTGTAATCCGTTGAATAAATAAATATTATTGCTGGAAAGTTGTATATTCATTGATTTTTTGTTGATGGAGGAGTAAGAGTTTTGTAAAATTGGGTGAAACACTTTCCTCCAAATAGATTTCATCACACCCTGGGCTTCTTCTTGGTCTTCACCTGTTCCATGACTTGAACATACAACTTGGCTGTGCCTACGTACTCGCTGGGGCTGGAACTAATATCCGTAAATAAGATGCTGACTAGGTAGAAGCCCAAGGGAAAAGGTGGAACCAGACTGGTGTACAGGTAACCATTTCGAGCAGTCAGTTGGCACTGTGGAGAATATTACCATATACTTCTAAAGGTTTATATAAAAATACTTTACCGTGAAGGGACAGGAGTGATTTGCATTCGTGAACTCTATCAGTAGCTTCCAGAATATAACACCATAGGGTATATAGCTCCTCTTATCGATTATCTCGCACATGTTGACGGTCACATCGATCAAAAATGGCTTGTACTGGTTGGAGTAGTCCTTCTTAAAGACTTGCAAGCGAATCTAGTAAAGAATTCTGAAGATATTAGTTTGTATTAAGAAACTGAGCACCATATTACGACAGGTTTCCGTAAGGGGACAATCAAAAAGGTGTCCATCTTCACCACTGCCAGGTTCCAATTGATGGCCTTCAAATGGCAGGAGATGTTAATAATCCGCGCCGGATTTCCCAGACAGTCAATTTTCACCAGCTTGCAGACCAATTGGTCATGGGTCTTGAGGAAAAAAGGAAATCTTTTTTAAATTTTTTTACTTCATTTTGAATTATTTTAATATATTACGTGTCCTACGCCTTGCCACATTAAGCAACATCCTAAGAGCAGCAGACCCGATATAGCCATTTTTGATACTGACAGCAGTCGAAAAACACCACAACCCTTAGAACACCGCCTTGGTTGAGTGAATACCTAATATGTTTTTAATGAAAAGCTCATCAAGCGAAATTAGCGGAACTGGGGGTTTAAATTCTCGCCAGTTTGAACATAATATTCTATTTCTTTATAGATCATTAATCCTTCTCTTGCCTTACTATTCCTTTATATTTGTCATCCTTGATATATGAGACTAAAAGCAAAACCCTGACCGAGATAAACTAGATATCGTTAGGTTTTGGGTCTCTTCTTGGTCCTAATCTGGTCCATGGCTTGAATGTAGAACTTGGCAGTGCCCACGTACTCGCTGTGGCTGGAATTCATGTCCGTAAATGAGATGCTGATTAGGTAGAAGCCCTGGGGAAAAGGTGGAACCAGACTGGTGTCCAGGTAACCATTCCGAGCGGTCATCTGGCCCTGTGGAGAATATTTCTTTAGATTCCTAGAATTATTCAAAACAGTACTTTACCGAGAAGGGACAGGAGTGATTAGCATTGGTATATTGCTTCAGTAACTTCCAGATTATGACTCCATAGGGTATGTAGCTCCTTCGCTCGATAATCTCGCACATATTGATGCTGACATCAACCAGAAATGGCTTGTACTGGTTGGAATAGTCCTTCTTGAATACCTGCACTTGAAGCTAATAAAGAATGATGATCATAGATCCGAGCTAATAACGGAGCACCTTCTTACAACCGCTTTCCGTAGAGGCACAATCAAGAAGCAGTCCATGTTCACGACCGCCATATTCCAATTGATAGCTTTCACGTGGCAGGAGATATTGTTGACCCTGGCCGAATTTCCCTGGCAGTCAATTTTCACCAGCTTGTAGACCAACTGGGCATGCATCTAGAGGGAAAACCTTTTGAAATCCTTTTTAATTTAAGGATTTTAATATAAGATGAACCTACGCCAGGCCACACAAAGCAACATCCGAGAAGCAGCAGACCCGAAATGATCATTTTTACAACTGAGAGCAGTCAAAATTATATTGTCATCATATCGCACTTTGGTTCAGTAAATTCGTAAGCGTTTTTTAATGGACTCAGGTTCGGTTTGATTTATTTATAGAGTTTGACAGACAAAAATTATATAAAAAAATATCCATGCCATGAACAATGTTCTTAGGCTTTTGGCCTCTTCTTGCTCTTAACCATTTCCATGACTTCAACGTAGAACTTGGCAGTGCCCAAATAGTCTTTAGTGGTGGAATTTGTATCGAAGAACTCGCAGCTAAATAGGTAGAAGCCCTGGGGAAACGGCGGAAGTAAATCGTGGTCCAGGTAACCATTCTGCATAAAGAGGCGACCCTGTAATTCAAAATGACATTATAATCGTGAAAATTGTAGGGGGAAAGTCAGTACCGAATAGGGACAGGTGTGATTGATATTCGAATATCGTTTCAAAAGCTTGAACATGATCACGCCGTATGGGAGGAAGTTCCTTCTTTCGATCACTTGGCATATGTTGAAGGTCACGTCAATTAGGAACGGCTTGTACTGGTTGGCATAGTCCTTCTTGAGAACTTGCAAATGCACCTGACAAACATAATTGTTAGCTTAGATTAATGATAAAATCGGCTCCATACTATGGGGTTCCGGATGGGCTTTATCAAGTCCGCGGTCAAATTAACCAACGCCAAGTTCCAGCTGATGGCCTTTACATTGCATCTCAGGTTATAGACCCTCAGCGGATTTCCATCGCACTCGATTTTCGCAGGCCTAAAAATCATCTGCGCCTGGGCCTAACATATAGAAAGTTAATTAATTCCTGCCAAAATTAATAAATTATGTGAGCTTACTCCTGGACAAATCAAGCAACAGCCGACGACTAGGACTAGAGCTGAAAGTTGCATTATTAAAACTGAACGCCATATAATTTAAAGCTCTATATATATATCATCAGATCACTGTAGTTGATTGGATAGATAATTTGTTTTTAATATAAATTAAATTGGTACAGATATTTGTAGGCTTTTGAATTTCCAAAAATCATATTAATTATATGTGAGGGCAAACAGATGAATGTACTAACCTTCTAATTACCTTTCTTCATAGCATAAAATATTGTTTTATAACCTCTGCAAGGGATATATTATTATATATTTATTGGATAGTAAAGTGTGCTTTATATCCATCTTTATTATATCCTCTTCTTGGTCTTAACCTTCTCCATGGCTTCTAGGTAGAACTTGGTAGTGCCCACATACTTATTGTTGTTCGTAAAAGAGAAGCTGAATAGGTAGAAGCCCTGGGGAAAAGGTGGAATTAAACTGGTGTTCATGAACCCGTTCCTGGTGCTTATCTGACCCTAAAAAATAAAATATTTTATATTCCTAGATGCATCCCAATTAATCCCATTACCGAGAAGGGACAGGAGTGGTTTACAGTGGTAAACTGCTTCATGAGCTTCCACACGATGACGCCATAAGTGCTATAGTTCCTTCGTTCAATCACTTGGCATAGGTTGGCGCTCGAATCAATCAGAAATGTCTTGTACTGGTTGGAATAGTCCTTTTTAAACACTTGAAATCGCACCTGGCAGATAATAGTGAAGATATTAGTTCGATTTTTGGATTTGGAGTCAGCCCTACAGCTAGATTCCGTACTGGCACGACCAGAAAACAGTCCATGTTCACCACAGCCCTGTTCCAATCGATGGCCTTCACGTGGCAGGAGATGTTGGTTATGCGATTAGGGTGACCGTCGCACTCAATTTTTCCGATCTTATAAACCAGCTCTGCCGCAGGCAGATCCTTAAAAGGATCAAGAGTATTTAATTTCTTTTAGATTTATTCAGTTAAATTTGTGAGCTTTACCCCTGGGCAGCATAAGGCAGCAGCCGAGTAGCACTAGTCCAGAAAGATTCATTTTTAAAACTGACAAAGCTGAATGATTTTACTTGTAACCTCATTATGTCAGAGCACAAATTGTTTGATTTGAAAAGCTAATTGTTTTTTAATGTAAAACCGGGAATCCATGCTCGGATACAGTGGCGGATTTAGGGGCTACAAAAATGTTTAATGCGCTAAAAGCCATAGAAATATTTGGTAAATAAAAAACTGATTTAAGAGAAATATTTGGAGACATGAACTACTAATTTCCCTTAGCCTTCGGCTTCTTCCTGCTCTTTACCTTTTCCATGACCTCCGTGTAGAGCTTTAAGGTGCCCACATATTCGGTGTGGGTTGAGTTTTCATCAGAGAACATAAAGCTAAATATGTAGACGCCCTGTGGAAATGGAGGCAGTACATCGCTGGTCAAGTAACCATCCTTCGCGTAAAGGTGACCCTGCAGTTAATACTGGCATTATAATCATGTAGTTGTTGAAGTTAAGCTCCTTACTGAGTAGGGGCACGAATGGTTTAGATTTGTATATTTTTTTAAGATCTTCCACATCATCACGCCGTACGGAATAAAGCTCTTCCTTTCGATCACTTGGCACATGTGGAGCTTCACGTCGATCAGGAACGGCTTGAACTGGTTGGCATAGTCCTTCTTGAAGACTTGAACTTGAATCTGGCAAATGGTGTTGATTAGATCAGACTCCATATACAAACTCCGCCATACAATGGGGTTCCAGACTGTTCCAAGCAAGACGAGTTCCCCGTTCAACACCCCCACGTTCCAATTGATGGCCTTAAGGCTGCATGACTCGTTACGGACCCGTGACGCATTACCGTTGCACTCAACTTTAACAAACTTATATACCAACTGGGCCTGCGCCTGACATAGTACAATGATTTATTAATTTAATTAAAATTAAATCAAATATGTGGGCTTACTTTTTGTGAAAAAAAGCAAAAGGCGATTAGAACTAGACCTGAAAGTTGCATTATTTCAACTGAGTGCCACACAGGCTAGAGTGTTAGATATTGTACCGATCGGCTGAATGGATAACTAATCTGCTTTTAATATACATTTATAATTATGAACTTGTATTAAAAGGTTTTGTTCATTCATCTGGATCAATTTTATCCATTAATGAAATACCATAAGTTGCAGAATTCAGTCGAACGAGCTGGAAGACAACTTAATTCAAATGCATTTAAATGCTGGCAGGAGAAAAAAGTAAAACAGAAGTTTATGATATTTCGTATATTATTATCAAATATTTTTTTATTATTAAACTTAATATAAATTTAATTTATTTCGCTGTATACTATAAATGATTTAATTTACAGAATTTTATTTATTTTGTTTGGATTATTGGCATAATAAGTAAGTAATTTATCATCAACACTACACATAAAAAACGTAAAAAACAACAAAGTTTGCTCACAGAATCTTAAGTTTCTATTCCGTATATTCACTTCAAACAACAATAGAAAACAGTCTCGAGGGAATTCAGATCACTCCGATAATTCGAATGTTTTCAAATTTCCCAAAACGTTTTATTCCGTTTCATGTTTTATTTATTCTCACTCATTTCAATTACTCAAATCAAATAAATTCAAATGAGTTCAGTTTATCGTAAGTTGTGAGTGGTGCGCCATGCAGATGTCTAATTGGAACCAATATAATACAAAATATTGCCAGCTAGAAGGTAAAGAACTCCCGAAAATACCTGAAACACACAAAGCTTTATAGTACATTCCTTGAAATTTTGAAGCTCTAGCTTAAAAATTCCCTAAGATCATACAATATATTCTTTCCTGAGTCATACTTTTACTTGTATACTTATTTTGTATACCCTTGCAGGGTATTATAATTTAAGTCAGAAACTATTGACGTTAATAGCTTTCAGAATTAAAATTAATTCTATATAATATATATTGATTCTATCACAACTTCAAACATTTTATATTTATACTGGCAGCTTCGTGTCACCAAAGATGGGCTTAATCCAAAGTGATTTTATGTCTTCCGCTATCAGTTCAATTTTTTGTTTGCTTCCAGACGTTTGTCGTTTGTTTGCCCGACTAATCAGTAGTCATTACCATGGAGAGGAGAACGCTTCTCCTGGAGCTGATAGGGATGCTCACGCTGCTGCCTAAGACGGAGGCGGGCCATATTCCCATACAGAGTTTCGGGTGTCGGTGGCAGTCATGCAGAGATCGCTTGATATGCGGCTTTGAACAGTTTGGACCGGCGACTAGGTGGGGAAATATCCAAAACAATCTGACCTTGGATGATACGGCAACAGTACGGTGCCATGAGGCGGGCTACAATGGAACTGAGATTCGGTGCCTCTTTGAGGGGCTCCGCGAGACAACATTTGACCAGATTGATAGTCACAATTTCAAGCTTTGCCTGGTGATCTCTCAAGAAATGCAGATTGAGGAGTTTAACCAGACATTAGGGCAGATGGAAGTGCCGGATTGGAATGCTGATACTCAACAGAACGTGACCTTGACCCTTCCTCAACGTCCTCCGCAGGTTAAGGATTTGTATTACGATAAGGAAAAGGAAGAGCTGCACATTTACTGGCAGCCTCTGGATGTGTGGGAGTACTGTTCAACGGAGATGCGGTACACGGTAGCTTCAAGCAGTGGGTAAGTTTTCTTTAAGTGTAAATGTTATTTAATTGTTAAATTAATTCATTTAATTAATTATCCATTTCCAGCCTGATACCTTCGGTAGTCGGTCGCGATTTTGCCATCTTTACCGGTTGGAACCCCGAGCTGCCGGCCAACCTCACCATTCGTAGTGATAACTCCCTAGGAAGCTCGAGGAGCAGCAGCCCCCTGAAGGTGCCGATCCTTACCAATGCTTACCAAAGACAGCCTCAAAAAGTGCTTTACGACGACAGCATTAAAAGCATCCGCTGGGATGAGCCCAAAGAGAAGGATAAGCTCGCCGGTTATACCATTTACTGGTGCCTCAAATCCAGCACAAACTGGAGCAACTGCGACGACAGAGAACCCATGCAATCTGTGAGCCTGGAAAATGATCGGAGTAGTTTTCAGTTTGGCCAGTCCAAGACGCTCTACCGCACAGCAGTGGCGGCCAATTATAGCGACGGGACCAGCGGAGGTTTGGTCTGGAGCACTCCCGCGCCTTCCCATGGTATGGCGTATTTGGTGGCCATCGTTGGCTCTGTCATGCTCATTGTCCTTGCATTGTATGCCCTTAGTTTGAAAATGTATCATAAGATACAATACATGGCGAGCATAGAAGTTGAACTTCCACCTTTCCAACTCATGAACACAAAAGAAAAACTCAAAATGGATCATAGTTCTCCATACGAGGGTACTATCCGTCCAGAAATTATTGAAAAAGTTTTAGTTAAAGACGGATCTTTGGTCATGGATTCCAGGCAACCGAAGACAGATGCTTCGCCTCCTGTCCCGTCTGCCTATAGAAGCTCTCCATTAGCAGTTGATTATATTCATTTAAGTTAATAGAAAATAAAAACTAACAGGGGATGTATAAGTCATTTAGACATAAAATAAATTAATTTAATTTTTTTTTTTATTTAAGACATTTAAAAATTGTATATCTCAGGTATAAATGTATGATAGGAATATGTTAGAAATTAGACACTAATGTTAACTTATTTTCCATTGAGAATACATTGTATTTTAAAATTATTTTATTTCCACTGCATTTTATTTTTATCTACATTAAGTGATTGTTCCTATAGTAGCTTAAATATATAGTTATCCGACTTGGAAAAATAAAAACAGAAATTCTTAAAAAAAAAAAAATTTACCATCTCAAAAAAAAATAATATGGGATAATAATTTTATAATTTATTAATTAATTTTATATTTATTATTTTGTTTTTAATTAACCAGAAAATATAGCATGCAATTTATTAATAAACCAGAAAATATAGCATGCGATTTTTGTGTCGCAGCAAAGCAACAGCTGGGAGACACATTCCAGACAAGTTGGCAGCACCCCCAAGCAAAAACAAACCGCTCAATTGAAATATTATTTATTATTCCCCAAAATTATGGATAAAGACAACCAAACAGCAGACAAAGAGGATGAAGCAGACATCCCGGCACCCACCACAGCCGCCTCGGGCCAAATCAAGGCCATTGCCAAGGATACAGTGCACAAAATCTGCTCGGGACAGGTAAAACTTCGATTTGTTTATAGATTCTTTATTTTATAATCTTTCTTTCCACAGGTGGTGCTCAGCTTGGCGGTGGCTGTCAAGGAGCTGGTGGAGAACTCCATAGATGCGGGCGCCACTCTGGTGGAGATTAAGCTGAAGGATCAAGGTCTGCAGGGCGTGGAAGTCAGCGACAATGGCAGCGGCGTGGAGGAGGCCAATCTGGAGGGCATGAGTATGTCCTTAAAAATTCATATAAATACCTAAAATTGATAGTTAATGGCTATATTTGCAGCTGCCAAGTACCACACCTCGAAGATTCGGGAGTTTGTGGACCTGCTGGGCGTGGAAACCTTTGGTTTTCGAGGCGAAGCTCTCAGTTCCCTCTGCGCCTTGTCGGACATGGTCATCCAAACGCGTCACAAGTCCACGGAAGTGGGTAAGTTCAAGTCCAAGAGCCCAGTATTTACTCTTTCATTATACTCCGTGTTTTACTGACAGGCATCAAGGTGGAGCTTGACCACGAGGGAAAGTTCAAGAAGCGTTCGCCCTGCGCCCGCGGCGTGGGCACCACTGTCACCCTGTCCAATCTCTTTTCCACCTTGCCTGTACGTCGTCGTGACTTCACGCGGAATATCAAGAAGGAGTTCACCAAGATGTGTCAGATCCTGCAGGCCTATTGCCTGGTCACCAAGGGCGTGCGCATCCTGTGCAGCAATCAGACCCCCAAGGGAGCCAAGAATGTGGTCCTGCAGACACATGGCAGCCAGGATGTGTTGGCCAATATCTCCGCGATTTTTGGAGCACGCCAGGCTTCGGATCTAGTGCCTCTAAAGTCACCCTTTGAGCAGGGTCAGCTGAGCGAAGCGGGGCTGCGAGCGGATCTGAACTCCTCCGTAGATGCAGCCGACACCACAACCTGCACGCAGTTCACCTCCGAGGATGTGGAGCGCCTTAATCAAGCGGATTTCCAGCTGGAGGGCTACATCTCCAGCTGCCGTCATGGAGCAGGACGCTCCAGCAGAGACCGCCAGTTCTTCTTTGTCAACGCCAGACCCTGTGATCCCAAGAATGTGCGTTGAGTGGTTTTAAATGAGGAGAATCTTTTAATTTACTTTACCTTTCCAGATAGCCAAGGTGATGAACGAGATGTACCATCGCTATAATGTGCAGCAGCAGCCCTTCATCTACCTCAACATAGTCACTGCCCGCTCCGATGTGGATGTGAATCTTACGCCCGACAAGCGCCAGTTGTTGATCAACAACGAAAGGATTCTGCTGTTGGCCCTTAAGAAATCCCTGCTGGACACCTTTGGCCAAACGCCGGCTACGTTTCAGATGCAAAATACCACCATTGTGAGCATGCTGGAACCCAAAGTCAAGCCAAAAGAGGAGGAAATCAAGATGGAAGCGGAAAAGGAGGAAACGGAGAAAATCAAGCTGCAGGAAGAGGAGGATACGGTGCCCATTAGCTCCTCGCAGCGGTTTATGGACGTGCTTACTCAATGGCGACGCACTGGCGATACCCAGGGCATAGCCCCACCAGCTCCTGCCAAGCGTCGTTGCAGCGAAACCGAACAATTGGCCACAAGATCCTTGAAAATGCAAAAAATTCATAATTTCCTTAGTCAAGAATCGCCAAAAGAGCCATCAGAGCAATCAGGCGAAGAGAGTGATGTGGAAAAGGTCAAGGAAAACAAAGAGCAGGCCAAACTAGATGATAGTTTTGTGAATCTAAAGGAACTGGCAAAGGAGTCTGAGGGTGAGGATAGGGAAAACTCTGAAGGATGTATAAAGAATTTCTTCTTTTTCAGCCTACGATCTTCTGACGCAGCCTGTCGTGGCAGCTCGCATTGATTGCAAGGTCCTGACGCCAGTGAAAAGCCGCCGTAGCATAGCGGAATTCAAACCCGAAGTCAAGACCCTAACCAAACCAGAGTCCAAGATGGAAGATGCTACTATTTCCTCCCAGAAATCTGAAGAAACCGAGGGACCCAGCGACGACGACGACGATGGCATTGAGCTGCCCACCCGCATAGAGTTCGACAAGGAGGAGGAAGTGGAAGAGGCATCCGCCTCCAACTTCACCAGCAGTGAGCTCCACATTACCTTGGAGGAGATAGCTTCCTCCATGAAAGCCCAAGAGCAGCAGCAGCGAGAACGACGGGCACGAGCCAAATTGCAGCGCTTGCGCTTTAAAAGTGAGATTAATCCGAATCAGAACAACAACGCAGAGGCGGAACTGCAGCGGGAAATCGGTAAAGAGGACTTTGTACGCATGGAAATCATTGGACAGTTCAATCTGGGCTTCATCATTGTCAAGCTGGAGGATGACCTGTTTATTGTGGACCAGCATGCCACCGATGAGAAATACAACTTTGAGACCCTGCAGCGCAGCACTCAGCTGGAGTATCAGCGTTTGGCGGTGCCCCAATCGCTGGACCTGACGGCAGTCAATGAAATGGTGCTAATTGATCATCTCCCGGTGTTTGAGAAGAATGGCTTCAAGTTTGAGATCAATCAGGAGGGTAAGTCTAGAGAGAAGGAGTGAAAAGGATCTAGTTAAGGCTTAACATTGCAGCTCCCCCAACTAAGAAGGTGCGTTTGCTGGGCAAACCGCATAGCCGGCGCTGGGAATTTGGCAAGGAGGACATTGATGAGCTCATCTTTATGCTGCAGGATGCTCCCGAGGGCACAATATGTAGGCCATCAAGGGTACGTGCCATGTTTGCTTCGCGGGCATGCCGGAAATCTGTGATGATTGGCACGGCTCTGAATAGAACCACAACCATGAGGAGGCTTATAACACAAATGGGGGAAATCGATCAGCCTTGGGTGAGAGTTTAACTCATTAAACTTTCTTTAAATCTTTTAAATTTATATGAATAATTAACAGAACTGCCCACATGGACGTCCCACCATGCGTCATTTAATTAATATCAGCATGTTGATGGACAACGAAGAAGATGAGGAGGAGGTGCCCTCCAGTAACATGGCCTAAAGTTTTCAAGTTAAATAAATAATCAAAGATTATTGTTTTAGTTTTTATTTATATTTTCGTTTCTCTTTATTGAACTCTGCTTTTTCTGCTTGTGGGTCCTCTAAGTATACGTTGCTTAATTGATTAACGATTAAACGACAGGATCAGACTTACAACTAAAGACAAATACAAAGGTTATCACTTGAGTATGTCTAACAAGCTACTCGTTTTGTTTTCTATTCTTTTTCGTAACTATAACTAGGTGGTACGTACACTAAATATACAAATACGCGGTATATATATATATGTATATGAGAGGCTACATACGTATGGGTATATGCAAAGGTCTTGTAATAATAACATGGATAACATCCCACGATCTAAACCCTCTCCACCTTGTTATTACAAAACCTTTCCTATATTGTGTGCTTAGTTTTGATTACTAAATGCTGTCCACCATTAACTAGAGTCGTCTGAGAAATTCAACGATTTGGCAAAACAGTTTACAACTCAGGCATAATATAGAGGAGAAGGACTCCCCATAACTTAACTCTAAATATATATTTTGCCACAGATCCTGCACTCGTATCTTACAGCTGTCATATCGTACATAATACTACAGTTTAGTGTTTAAAACTATAAGTTTGCTAAGCCACAAGTATAATTAATCTCTACCTTTCGCCTCCCTCGTCCTCGTTTAGTGTATAAAATGCATGGCACCCATAGGGAACAGTGTTCGTTGAGCAATTTACTGTCTTAACTTAGAGACTAATGACTACAGGCTACACTTTGATTCAATTTTACTTTCATTTTCGATTCAATGTTTTCCAGTTTTCGTTTCGTGTGTCGTTCATACATTTTGTAAATAAAAGGCAACTCATGAACATTTTTTGTTTTGTTTTCAACAACAATTGGGGGACTGCTGCTGCTTTTACCAATATTAAACACGTTAACAATCTTTCCAGGTGGTTCTTCAGTTCTTAGGTGTTGTAAGTATTTTCTTTGGGAACATTATAAATATTTTAAAAAGGGAAAATGTTTTAAAGATTCGTTGGTGGCGAAAAAGGGAAACATTTTAGCAAAAATCAACAAAGAAAATCAACGCTTAGTTTGTTTCAAGTATCACTCCCTTTTGGCATTAAGAATATATATTAGCCAAAATTTGAAACAGAGGATATTAACTCCATGGCTTCCTCTAGAACCACAGCGGACCAATCGTCTCCACGATTATGTCCAACACATCCTGGCGTCCCATCTCCTTGAGCGTGAGCAACAGGTTCATTATTGTGTGCGAAACCGAGTTGGAACTATTACCGGGTGAGCTATTCGCCCGACACTCCCACAGGTTCAGGATCTGTTCGGTGGGCGAGGCCTTGGTGGCAAAATAAGCTATATACCGATCCGTATTGAGCTTCTTGGCCAGCAGCCGCCAGTCGCGCTCATCGGCCCGCGGTGGATCCAGGGCGGCGCAGATCAGACGCTTGGTGGCATGTGGAAGCTGGACAAAGTCCATCACACAGCTCTCGTTCACATAGTTGCCCTGCCGGTCGATGGAGATGGTGGTGTTCGTGGTGGAGGCCAGCTCCTCCGCCGAGCCGCTCAGCGAGTGGGCCGGAATGTTGAAGGTATATATATCAGCATCATCCTCGCTACCCTGGCCAAAGTCCACGCAGAGTGTGGTCTGATCCTGCCGTCGTAGGCTGAACTCGCAGTGCAGAATAGAGTTGTTGCTGAGGATGTGCTGGTAGGGTATGGCGTGCTCGTAGGGAGCCGCTGCCTCCACATCGGCACTTCGCACGCGGATATTAAGGTTCCGGCTGTTCAGGGTAAAGACAAAGACCTGGCTCTCGCCCAGGAAACTGCCGCCCAGCTTGGCCTCCACGTTCGAGCAGATGTCGCGGCTATTGGGCAGATCCTTGACCACATAGATCCTTAGACTGCAGTTGGCGCTGCTCGGTGGCGTGTGTTGACTGAAGGCCAGCAGCTTCATCTTGATGGAGGGCTGCTGGATCCTAGGTTCCGCCACCACGGCAAAGTGGCCCAACTGCTCCGTCATAATAAAGACATGCCGCGACTCTAGCTGCACAAACATGGGCGTGTTGATGGTCTCCTCGCCCACGGACACCGCTCGTCGCCAGTTTACGCTTAGCTCGTCGTGCTCGCTATCCGCATGGTAGATGTGGACATGCCACTGCTCCGGCGCCACCAGGCAATGAGGTATCTTCAGGATCACCGGCTTCACAAAGCTATAGTTACGCGGGGCACTGTGCACCACGCTGCTGCACAGGATGGAGCTCTCGGTGGCGCAGGAAACGCGGCTGCACTCGTCGCTCAGCAGGAGCAGGGACACATGCTTCTTCGAGTGCTTGCCAATGGCGTGCTCGGGCACAAAGAGCAACAGCTCTCCGCCGTACAAACGCAGCTGTCCTCCAGAGCTGCCCAAGAGCTCGTAGCTGCTGCTCTTGGAGGCGTTCAGTATGGAGAGCTTGTTGTTCATGTCAAAGGTGGAGTTGGCTATAAATAAAAAATTAAAATTAATAACAAATAAATTATATTTGAAGGTTAAAGTAACAAAAGTTTACTTACAGGTATCTGCTGCGGAGGACTCTCCGGTTTCAGACAAATAATCCACGCTGAGATGATCAATGGGGTTGGTGTAGCTGCAAGTTAAAACAAAACGCAATTAATATTTAATTGAAAATTAAATTCTTTATTGAATTTAAAAAGAATATTAAATGAAGTGGCTATTAAATATGTAAGCTCCTCATATAGTTCAACATGAAAGACTCTCCTCAAGAAGGAAGTAATTTCGTTGCCTTGGCAAGGATATTAAAAGAATCATAACTAAGGACATACTTAACATGACTCAAGAGTCGTAAAAAAAGTAATAAAAATGTAAGTCCTCTTCAGGAAAAGTATTAAAATTTTGAAATATCACAAGAAAAGATATTTAAGAAGTGTTTAGAACCCAATTTAAGAAAATGGAACTATGGAAAAATATTTATTTCTTTATCTGAAGCTAACAATTAGTTCTAAACTAAGAGGAAAATATTTCAACTATCCTTTAAAGCTATTTAAATGCAAAAACAAGAAAGGAAGCTAACTTCGGCTTGCCGAAGTTTGTATACCCTTGCAGATTGGTTTTGATATTTATATTATAAATTTAAATGCTTAAAACACACACAAAACAGAGTTTCATTACATTTTACCTGTACTTATTATGTTTACAGTTTGACAGTTACAGTAATACATTTCCAGCTTTACATTTTCTTTACATCTACGGATCGCTTTTATGGCAGCTATATGATATAGTTGTCCAATTTTCATAATATTGTTACCAAAATTCTGAAATAATACTAAAAGCTCATGTCTCAAAGTAGATGAAAATACGTTGAAAAACAACGAAGTTATAATTTTTATACCCTTGCAGGGTATTATAATTTCAGTCAGAAGTTTGCAACGCAGTGAAGGGAGACGTTTCCGACCCTAAAAAGCATATATATTCTTGATCAGCATCAACAGCCGAGTCGATCTAGCCATGTCCGTCTGTCCGTCTGTCCGTCTGTCCGTCTGTCCGTCTGTCTGTCTGTCTGTCTGTCTGTCTGTTTCTACGCAAACTAGTCCCTCAGTTTTAAAGCTATCTGAATGAAACTTTGCATATAGTCTTCTATATGTTCTCACTGCTATATATGTCGGAACGGGCCGGATCGGACGACTATATCATATAGCTGCCATACAAATGTTCGATATATTTTGGCAGCTATATGATATAGTCGTCCGATTTTCATAAAATTTTTACCAAAATTCAGAAATAATATAAAATGGTCATATCTAAAAAATGGTGCAAAAACGTTGAAAAACAGCAAAGTTATAATTTTTTTTCTAAAAATATATCGAACATTTGTATGGCAGCTATATGATATAGTCGTCCGATCCGACCCGTTCCGACATATATAGCAGTGAGAGCATATAGAAGACTATATGCAAAGTTTCATTGAGATAGCTTTAAAACTGAGGGACTAGTTTGCGTAGAAACGGACAGACGGACAGACGGACAGACGGACGGACAGACGGACAGACGGACGGACAGACGGACATGGCTAGATCGACTCGGCTGTTGATTCTGATCAAGAATATATATACTTTATAGGGTCGGAAACGTCTCCTTCACTGCGTTGCAAACTTCTGACTGAAATTATAATACCCTGCAAGGGTATAATAACAACCCAAAGACATATAGATAAGCCACAAATATTAACAGATTTAAGAAACCCCTCCATCCTGGCAACAGTATTTAAACCATATTGCAACCCAGTCGCGACTCAAGGTCCACAAAAGGATACAATAAAAAAGTGTATAAAAAGGACATATATACACTTAGCAAACTAATAACATTCCCGCCTTATTTGTAGACTTACTTGGCGGACAGATTGGGCACATCGTAGTGGTGCTCGGTGACACCGCCGCCGATGCTGCCGCATCCCATGCCCATGCCCATGCTGGGCAAGTACCGATGTCCGGGATTGACGTAATCGTAACCCATGTTGCTGGCCTCGATGTGCATGCGCATCTCCTTCTTTTCCACCACGCCGGGCATATAATCCGCGTCCATTACTGCCGGAATCGGAATCGAAAAACAAACACACACACAGAGAAACACTTGGTCAGAATTGTTCTGTTGGGAACGCATGGCGGAGAGCAGGCTCCTTTCCGTTTCAACTCACCTGAGCGGGCCATGTTGTAGTGGGGATTGGTGCGAATGCCACGGCGGGCACAGCAGATGAGGGCCGCGCCAAAGGCGAAGCAGACCGCGGTTATGAAGGCCAGTCCCAGATAGAGGGTCCAATCGAAATCTGCAATGAGCAAGCGTAGTGGATTCATATAAAACTGCTGAGTTAACGGGTTGTACCCTAGGAAATTTAAGCCAAAGGAAGGTGTTTGAGTACTTGGAATTAACTTATTTTGAAGGCAAACCAATAGGTATTTAAAATATATTTTTTAAATGCATTTTATGCTAGTTTCATACTCCTTAATTTACAATAAATATTCGGGAATATTATTCGGAAATATTTCGGCTCAGGGACTGTCATCATCACATCCACCAGAAGGTTTCTAGCAACCTAATCTTCCTCTAAATACGACTATCAATCTCTCAAGAACCCGGAGTATCTATCTGGCCACATATCCTCTTCCAAACTAGTGAGTAATTCCTAGCTCATCAGGGAAAGTATCCCTTCAGATATCCTTCAGCTTCTACAAAACTGAATGGCAATAATGCCAGCCTGCCTGCAATTTCTGCCTTCCATCCAAGATGCTGCCACCATGAGAACCCCATTCCAATTGCCAATCTTTGTGTGTTTGAGCATTAAAAAAAAAAAAATGAGGAGAAACCAAGAATTTTCTGCGTAAATCCGACGCCACCCTCGGTGCTTTTCAGGATGCCTGCCAAGCGAAATCCACACATTCATGGACGTTGAGTCAACCCAAAAACTGAACCGAACTGAACTGAACCGAGGACCGAGAACCAAACCGAACCGAACCGAACTTTTCCATAACCAAACAGGGTCGGCAGTGGCATCCTCTGCATCATCCTCCTCCCCCACCTCCACCCATTGTCATCAATCCGGAGCAGCCATGCGTATCCGTATATCTGGCGCTCTGCTGAGCGGAGCGGAGCTGTATATGTCTGTATTTAATGTTTTATGTTTGTATGCTCATCCCCAGTCCAGCTACGTCTATTTCGCATTATTATTCGCCGCCGGCCCCCCGTCGCCAGCAGCGTAGTCAGCACAGGCTCCCGCATCCCCATCCTCGAAAGAAATCTCCTCCTCCCCTTGTTGGACTCCCATTGTTGCACGCTGCCTGTTTCCGTTGCTGTGATTGTTGTCGTCATTGTTGCCGGGCGCTGGCGGTGACTGGTTGTTGGCGAAAAAGGAATCGCTGCAGCGCAAGGAATTACTCTGTATATATTATGATTATTATACCGTATAGTACTTACTACTCCGCTCCAGAAGGGATTCGGAGACGGCGACGGAGCTGGAGCTAGAGCTTCGTTTTTCGGAGGGGGTAGCACTGAGTGACTGACTGAGTGGGTGGACGCATTATACAATGTATGAAATGAGCAATTATATTCGCTGTAAATCAGCGGCAGCATCGGAAACAGCCGTAGCAGCAACCCCAACTGGGATACATCTCGGGGCTTTCGTTTTCCCTTTGCTTTTGTGCATTTTGCATGCTGGTTTTTTTTTTTTGTTGTAATTTTTTTCTTTTGGAAAATCCCCTCCTGCAAGGGACATCAAAAGGGGTCTCGTCTCGTCTCCTTGGCCTGACAAATACGCTTTTAATATCAGATGGCTGAGTGTACAGGCTGCTGACAATGGGCCCATGATGAAGCCGCAGGTATCGGTGGCCCCAGGGAACTAGGATTGGATTGGCTTTGGCTTTGGATTTGCCTTTGGAATCGTAATAGAATCGAAAATAAGCTTGCACACACACACTACTTGTGTCACTCTTCGTAAACTTTTCAGCACGGCAATCAAATAAAAGACAAACCTGCCAAAATCTCCTCCTACTGTTCTGATCCTGAATCCTGATCCTTTCAATTACACACTGTGACAGCCATCTAATTGATCCCCATGGACCGCACGAAACTATGTTTGAGTTGGGTCAATCGCACACTCGGCACTGCTCAGTTCCCCCGTTGAAAATCGAAGGGCAAACAGCAACAATGACACGGGAAAAGCTCTCAGATTTTGGGGTGGCAAAAGGGACAAACTTGGGGGGTGGATGGATGGATGGATGCTGTTGGTCCTGGTGCTGCTGTCTTTGCCGCACGCCTAATTATCTGGCAAAGCACATAAACCCACAGAGCTGGGAACCCCCACTTAAATCTCAATTCCAAGTGCTGCTGCGATTGATTTGCGACCCTTCTTCCTTCGATTGGGCGTCGGAAGTTGAGAGTTTAGAGAACTGGGGGCCACCTCCTGGGGTGAACTGTCCCTGCCATACACTTTCTATACTCTTCTCCCAGGGACTTATATATATGTATAAATAAGCCCGTGGCCGTGCACAAACAAATGCACTTGGTTAATTTCCCATTGTGACAATCAGCGTTGAGTGCTCGGCTTTTGTGTGGCAAGGGTTCTGTGTCCTGGGCTCTGTGTCCTGGCTGCTGATTCCGTTTCTGGCCTGGCCTGTTATTGTTGTCTAACTGTCTACTTTGTTGCTCCTGCCCTGGCATTCATCCTTGTCACTGGCAATGGCACACTCACCATCCTTGCCAATCTGGCACTGTTCGCCGCGGCATTCGGCTGTCTGTATATCCTTTCCGGTGCACAATGATTTGCCATATCCTGCGATACTGTCGGAGGAGCTGCTGGATCCAGCAGCCGTCTCGCCGGGGCTTCCTCCACCGGAGGCAGCGCCAGCAGCACTGAGTGCGGCCATGCCCACGCCGGAGCCCAGTAGCAGTTCGCTGCTCTCGTCGCCATCGGGATTTGGTGTCTGGAGGCCCTGACTCAGGCATTTCCTGCGACGCACTTGAATGCATTCCGCGGAACAGATGCTCCAGTCACTCCACGGCGACCAGCGGGCCACTGTAAGGGGGGAGAGGGGAGAGAAAAAGGCAGTTTAGAAATCAAAAGTCATATTAACATGATTTAGCACACATTCCCGACAGCGGCACTCCCCGGGTCATATATCAACCTCAGAGTCAGAGTCAGAGCAGGGACGTCGGTATGTGGCCTGATCCCCTCCTGCAACCGCTTCAATTACGGCCTAATAGATGCTCCTCGGGGAGAAATTGAAAGTTTGTTCCCACCATAAAATTAGTGGCTCTTCTCTGGCCATTTTCCCCCATTTTTAAGATGTTCCTGCCCCTGCCAGGGAGTGACTGACGACGCCACTGTTGATTTTTGGGGTTTGTGTGCGACGCGTGGGTGTGGGTTGGATTGGGTTGGGAGAGGGAAAAGTGATTGTCATTTTAATGCTTTTCTATTTTCGCATTTTCTTTGCTATTTCAATTTCCCTGCTTTCCCTTTGCCCGCTGGAGTGAGGAAGAGCGGAAAGTCCGAAAGCTAAACAAAAAGCCCAAAATGACCGTGGAACGCGATGCATGCCTATGGCAGCTGAAATATATGTTCGACAGGCAGACACTAAGGGAAAAAAGTAGTGTCAATATTCAAAAAATAATATTACTAATATTAAAAAACAATTTTTCATATAAAAAGAAGCTTGACAAAACGTTGTATACCTCAGAAAAGTGTACCACAAGACTCTAATAAAGCTAAAGAGACATTTAAAAATAAGTTTTAAATTCTTTGAAAATTTATTTAAACATGAAACTCCAGTAAATAAAAAGTTTTTAAATAAATGGGAAATAGTAATATAATTTCTAATAAAAAAATTATTATCCAAATGACTTTATTTCCACTTTCCGCTTCCCTTCCTGCCATAGTTTTTCCCTCAGTGAACACACATACTGGTATAAATACATCGGCATTTGGCACTTCCTGTTTTGGAAACATAAAACCACCCCCAACAAAAAAAAGGGGGCGCACAGAATTCCGGACTTGTCGCCAGCCATCATCACATTGCCAGGCATTTAGTTTTTCCCCCGCAACGCATCCTCATACCCATACCCATGTCCGTGTGCCCATCCTGTCAATAGCCATCCCCAAGGATGGCGTATCCTTTTCGACCCCGCCAGACAACGCCGACGACTGTTGCATGAATCAGGGAGGAGTATAAGTCGTGGTAAGTGATTTTTAAGTTGCTGCGAGATACTCGTGTCGCAGTGACGTCACCCCCAGTAAAGTAAGTCACTCCAGTTAAAGTCAGTTAAAGTATATATATAGTTTTTTTTGTTTTCTGGGGAAACCCTCTGAAGAACCCAAAACGAATGACGCCACGCTTGGTTGGATGCTGATGCCGCCGCCGGTTCGGTTTAACACGATTGTTTATTGGATTGTGAAGGCCCCAGTGGATGTGGGATGTGTTGTAACCCCAACTAAAAAATTTAACTGTCGTCGGCTCGTTAAGCATTCAAGTTTAACAGCTCGAACGGAACACAAGGGAACGGTGGGTAGGGGAATACCCTTTGTCCCCTTTGTCCCACCCAAAATGAGGAGCCAGGAGCCAGGCCGGGAAAGCCTTTCCTCTTTGAGGGAAATGCACATTGTCAGGGCTTTCGGTTCAACTTACTGCGCTTACTCGACGAAATGTCAAATCCATCAGGACTGACGATTTGAGTGTCCTCTGTTGTTGGCAGGCGACAGCGTAATCACGGGCGTTGATGGGCGTGGCAGCAGCAGCAATACGGCGGCAGGACCATAAGGTTGACACGGTTCCATGGGGATGAAGAGTCGACAGGAAAGAAAAAAAACGAAAGCCAAGCGAAATTTAAAATTAATTTTATGACACACTTTTCATAGAAAAGAACAGGAGAGTGGGTGAGTTTTCCCCCCTATTATCCAGAGTATTCTCCCGGCACCCTCGTCCCCATCTCACTCCCAATTTGCCCCGCTCGTCTGTCAACAATTGCTCATTGCCTGCGCCCGCTGTGCTGTGCGACTTGACGGGCTTCGGCCTCGGCTTCTGCTCTGGCCAAGTATCCTAGGGATCCCACTACAATACAATGCAATACAATAAATTTACATGAATAAAAGTGAAGAGTCTCAAACACATGCCGCCCGTGCGTCTGTCAAAAAGAGAGCGCCCCATAGCCACCACCGATTTTATCCTCATCCTCCGGGCCCATCTCGGCAGTATCTGTGCTGCTCCCCCTTTCCCCTTGAATATCCAGTGCCTTTGTCACCATTTAGTCGGTGGAGGGAGCCAGAGCTACCTCCTGCTCTTCTCCTGCTGGGACCCAATCTATCCATCTCTATATATGCATGTGGAGATATCTGTCGTCGGTCCAAGGCACCACCAACGGCAGCCGAATGCGTGTTTAAAATGAAATACTCGGCACTCACTCAAAAATGTATTATGCCATTGTTCGCGCTGGGCATGGTGACTATATCGAGGGGCTGCCTGCCAGCTCTATATATATATATAGAATATACTTCTCTACTTGATATTTTTCCACTCGTAAATAATAATAACACTGAGCCGAGGAGCTTAGCTCTACATAATATTGGGCTTTAATGGATTAGAAGCTTATGGAAAGAAATTCTTGTGATATTTCTTGTAGATTTCAAAATAAAACTAGCCTGAAAAATTAATAAGGAAATATGGATTTGTTGTTTAAAAAACACTCTAAAATCATTTCTTATTTCGAGTATGAAGTGAATTGTTTTTAATAAATATTTTAATACATACAACACCATGATTTTGTTTTAAAGGATTGCAAAGTATTTGATTTCTGTATTTTAAATTGTAAAAACTACGTGGATATGAATTTTATAGAATTCTAAAGTAAATATTCGAATACTTCTAAATAATAGGCATTTCTTTTAATATTTTATATTCTGAAAACGAACTCTTGTAAATTAACACCTAAATATTTCTTGAAACTCTAAGAAATTCAATACCTTAAACAAGCAAAAGCCTCTTCATTGATTTTAAATTATATATTGATGTACACAGCCTAATAACATTAGCATTCTTTGGCATAAACCCCTTATAATTCCTATCATTTATGCATGTAAAGTCCTGGCCCATTTGGATTATGATAATCAACCGAGAATCCCAAGTGTATTTCCACTTCGTACTGACCCTAAAAGCTTATCTGGGCTTGGTTTTATCTTTTCTTTTTTTATTGTAAAACCCCCTGAACTTTTGCTTGGTGCAGTGCTTTGTGTTTTTGGACTGTCCTTACCACGCAATACCTCCCATGCCCATTCCCTGTCCCATCTCCTTCATGTCGTGGTGTGAAAAAGTACGCGTTGTTCACGACGCCCCAGGAGATGTATCGACAGAGCCAGCGGGGCGCGAGAGGACTTACTGGGCCATGTGCAGGTGGCGCCCAGCCGCAAATGCCATTTAAATTGACAATTTTGCTGCTGCTTTACAACCGCCTTAAAGCATCTCCCCCATTTCCGGAATCCGGAACGAGGCATTCCCTGAACTCGAACCCGAGCCCGCATTGTGGGCGTGTTGGCCGCAATTCGCAGAGCCACCCACAATTTTGCGGATGACCGCAACGCAGCTACATACCTGGACAGGCGGCACAGTCGGCAGACTTCTGGATCTGGGGGCCCGGACACTGGGCACCACCATTAAGCGGCATCGGATTGTTGCAGGTACGCGACCGTTTTCGTCCCTGGCTCGGTTTGCCCGCACACTTGCACTCGCGCCATGGACTCCAGGTGCTCCAGCCGCCGTTGACTACGGAATGGGAATCAAAAATTGAACAATTAAGAGCATTAAAAAATAATATAGACACGACTATGGGTTACTTGGTATGGAAGGGAATCTATATTGATCTGAAATCAATTGAAATTTGTGTCTAAAAGTGTGCTATAAAATGTTACAACGCTTTAAAGTGTCCTTTAAAATTTTATTGCATACTTTTGAGAGTAACTTTAAGAGATTTCAGTATTCTTAAGAAGATATTTTGAACTTTAAAAGGTTTTTTCTTTGATTTTAAAATAATTGGAAGATAATTTGATGTATATCCAGCTGAAAGCTATGCTAAGATTTAATTTTAACAGAAAATTGGCTACTTTGTCTCGAGAATTAAAACCACTTAGCAGGGATGAAGGAAGGGGGCAAGAATTTAAAGCAAACTGAGTCTGTGATTTTGTAACATTTATATCAGGCTATAATAAGGCATCTATTTTTAAGCAAATATTTCCCAAAATTAAATTTTTTTTGAACATAAAAACCAAAGAACGAATAAACCTTACTTCTTGTCCAAAATACCGAGTAAAAACATGTTGGTTTTAAATTCATTTTTCCCCATCTATAGCTGCCAGCTATATAATACATATGTATATACTGACCATAAACGATGAGCACCGCGGAATCGGAGATGCGTCTGCCGGCTATATTCTCCGCACTGCAGCTGTAGTTGGCCATGTGCTGCAGTGCCACCTGGCGGAAGGTGAGTATGCCGCCCGTAACGCTGATCCCGGGCTCGCTTTCCGCGGTGATGACCGCGTTGTTCTTGTGCCAGGTGAGCTTCGGTTCGGGGAAGCCGCCGGGTGGCTCGCAGCGCAGTTCCGCCCGGCTGCCCAGCTCCAGGCGCAGCGAGGTGGGCGACTGGTTGAAGGACTTGCGAATATCTATAGTTGGTGGTGAAAAAAAGGACAGATGCGGATACCGATGTAGATTCCAGATACCGATAATAGGGGTAAGCGAGCTAAGCGAGGGTCGCTCCTGTTGACAGGAAGCCACCCCCAGGACTAAGGTGTATTACATGTGTTAAGTGCAAGGGAAGTACACTTTAAAAGTGGTTAAGGGAAATTAATATACTTTAATTGTTATTAAATTGTTTTTTAAAGTGTCATTTTAAATAATTCTAATTATGATTTATACAGTTTATAGATTTTAGTTTTAAATTTCCTATGCTTTTTAGTAATTTTTAACTTATCTTTGGAATTATTAAACGATTTCAAAGCAATACTAAATAAACTAAATATTTTATTTCTTGGAGCAGGCATGACTCTTTCAAAATCAAATTAAAAATGTTTTCCTTTCCATTTAAAATTAATTAAAGACTCCCCCAGCCTTGGCTTGCTTGAATTTATTTGAACGCCTGACCTTAATTCAACTATTTAATTGTGTATGTTGGCCATTAATAAAAACATTTCTGATTGAAACAAACTCAATCAAATTTGTGAATTTTACCAGGCAAAGCAAAAATGAATCAATAAGCTTTTTAATTTAATTTTTAAAATATGTGTTATTAGCAAGGCAAGGCTTTTAAAGGCAATTGAATTAATTATTCCTTATTGCAGTTGCCTGATTTTTCAATTAAAAAGGCTTAAAGCCAAAGCCGAAAGTGAATTTATAAATATTTAGATTAAATATTTAATGAAAATATTTTCGGAAAATTAATTGACCATATTTTTCATATCAGTGTACTCACAGGCTATGTGCACGGTGGCCGCCTGGCTTTTGACCACGCCACGCGACGACCAGGCGTGGCACTCGCACTTGAAGGGTCCATCCCCAAAGAACTCGTCCACCAGGTCCCGGTGTATGGTGGCGGTGACCTCCTCCATGTTGACGCCAGTGTGTGGATCCACATGAGTCTCGTGCGTCGAGGGCGGGGGCTGTGAGCTGCCGCTGCACTTGAAGATCACCTGCAGGGAATGCGAGGCCTTGCACTTGAGGATGGCCGGTCGGTTTTTGACCACAAAAACACTCTCCGGCTCGCTGAGGAAGATGGGTAGCGTATTGCTGGCCTCTCCAGGACTCAGTTTGCCACTGTTGAACTCCTCTAGCAGGGTTCCTGAGCCTGCTGCCGTCGCCCCTGAGGAGGATGAGGACGAAGAGGAGGAGGATGGAACGCCCACTGGAGGTCGTGCCGGATTCTCCTCTTCACTACTGTTACTCAGCAGCTCCAAGTGATGCTTTTGCGGCGCCGATTCCTCGGTAACCAAAGAGTTGGCAAAGGGAGCCAGTGCTGTGAGTGGGTCAATTGCATCCTCCTCCAGGGAGGCGGACATACTGCCATAGTCCAGCTGCGGCAGCTCTCCGGTGACCATAAGAGATAAGCAGATGACCTGAAGGCCAACTAGCAGGGTAATCACACTTCCGGCTCTATTAATCACCGCCATGCTGCGCCTTGAGGGGGTTCTCAGTGTGACGAAGGAGGAGTAGGTGTCTCTTGCTCCTGCTCCTGCGTTTCCTGTGCAACTGCTGCACCTGCAATGTGACGTGGCGTTGTGGCGATGGCGAGCTAACTGCAGGCATTAGCATTAGCTGCACACTCGCTTTGTTGACGTGGTGAATACGATCTGGAAAGTCAGATAAGAAACTCGAGTTAGCTATAGAGTGAGGAGTAGTAGTGAGTAGCTACCTTTCTACGTCTTTGGCCTGGCAATTTGCGGACTTGGCAATAAAACGAGAACCCACAAAGCGGCCTGTCAAGCCACGAAAAGTGTCCATGGTTTGACTAAAGTGTTCATATCTCTGACGCACACTCATAGCATTAATAGCCTTAAGGTCTGGCACATATGCTTATCGACTTGAGACGATTTCTGTGTACACTACCTGCTCAGAAATACAGGTGGTTTTAAGGGGAAACTCTGAGAGTTTTAAGGGAATAGAAGAAAATAGGGGAAAAGTGACAACTAAATGCGGAAAGGTTTCCTTAAAATGAGAATAAAGTGTTTCTTTGTTAGGAAAATTCTTATATTAGTAGAATTAATTGATTAGATAAATCAAAAAGGATTATCTATAATATTAAAGAAGCCTTCTTACATATCAAATTAAGCTACTTAAGGTAAGTCAGCTTAATCTTTATGATTTATTCTTATTTGTGTTTAATGTTCCTTACTAGAATTACCTTATAAGCCTATAAGTTATAGCTCATCCTATTTTTCACACATCTAAAACCTTACTTTTCCTGAAATACCATTGAATTTTCCCTCCAAATGCACCTGCTTTAATTTTACATCATAAAAAGAAACCCCGAAACCCCTTACATCTTACTCAACAGATTTTTCATTTATTTTTCCGTCAGTTTAGATTTCCTTTGAGTTTAGTTTTCATTTCCTGCCCCTAGGTAGGCACTATTTTTAGGCCACTCAGACTTCTATCTACAAAAAGGATCAATAAGAAATTGGTCTTGGGTAATGGAAATGTATTGTCCATACTTAGGGACACTTCCTGTACTCTCAGCCCAATCGATGAGTTGTCTCCATCAATCAAGAAACCAAGAGAGACCAAGAGACCCGGCCAAAGTGAGAACCCAAGTGTAGGGCAAACAGGCTGGCCACAAGTTACAAAATTTCCCATTAGCCATGCAAGTCATGCGTCAGGTTCTACGAATCGTTGGTACCTAATCGAAATATTAATAACAGGTATAAGTATGCTCCGCCACACTGCAGTTCTCCGGCACTCCAGGACGTGGTCTCCACTATAGGGGACTTATGCTGGGAAAAGCGCCTTTTGTCTTGCGGAGTTATTAAGTTTGGAGGAATGGAGAGGGTGGACGCATGCCGGCACGAACCTCAGCCAAGCCGCGATAAGTCCGGCCCCCGTCTCTGCTTTGCGTTTGAGTTTATGTGTTTGCCTTCGTAATTATGTATTAATCATGCATAAGTTAAAACTCAAAAGCCCAAGTCTCTGGCTCAAACGGATTTTATGGCCGCACCGACGTGGGCCATTAGGAGGCGCATCAAGTAAAAGTCGATATGTAAATCTTGCGGAAACGCTGATATGTGAAAAGTGATTATGATTGCAGTCCCTCAGTCCCCCTCACGAATCGTAATAAAATATCGGGTAATCAGAAGTTAAGGGGAAATAATACATTTGATGGGTCGTTTAATCGACTTCATCATCATCGTCATCGGGAACGAGCCTCGTTTCTTTCGATTTAAGCGCCTTTATGCGTAATTCAATTGGATTTACAGGGTGCTTGTGGACACTTGAGTGTCTGTCAATATATTCTGTGGATATATGTGTTGCCTGGGCGTGCTCTTGGGCTCATGTAACTGACCAGATTATAATAGTCTTCTTCCGACTCGGCACACACTCTTGTGTTTGGTGTGTGTGTGTGTGCATTCAATTATAGATGGGATATTGAAGCTCAGCCCGTTTTGTTTTCGATTTGTCTAGAGTCTAGACCATTGTTTGACGAGAGAGCTGATTGTTTGTGGGGCTGCTTAGCTAAATTACATTTTGGCTAAGGCCGCAAATCGATATGGCCATCAGCGAAAATCGAACACTGATTTTCGGCTCATATAAACAAAGCCAAGCTTATTTATTACTGCAGCTTCTTGGGAGTGAAATAATGCTGAATTGCAGGCATCTCTATATATACAGACAACGGAAGGGAGATTAATCAAAGTCGGGCACACATAAAATACTCCGATTGAATCCGTTCGGTAGTCTGCTGCTGTCTTATCTCCATCGATGTATATTGTACATTACTTTTTAATAGGTTTTTAATGAACTGAAGTAGGCCAAATGGATTGTGCGGGACGCTTATCAGTGACATTTCATTGTCTGCGGGCGCGCTTTATAATCGGAATGGGTTTTTATAAATTTATTCAATGCAAAAAAAACTTGTCACCGCCAAATAAAAAACCTTGCATTGATTTTGGCACGCAAGCATCCGGGGGAAACCCCTACCACATCCTCTGACTGACTGACAAGCTGAAGGAGGACACACACGCATAGACACTGGGCGAAAAAAGGGGAGGGTTTAGTTGAGGGACAAAAATATATAGAGTGATTTATGAAATATATGATTTATTTAGCAAAATAATGAAAATTATCATATCGAACATATACAATTTCATATATCAAATTTGTATGTATCGAAAAATATCGCATTGAGCTTTAAAATATCGATAGATATCCGATAAACGTTTTCAAATTACTTTTGATCTATTTTCGATTACTTTGGAATGATATATATTAAACAGAATGTAGTTTTATTCCCCCTATGTATATCGGAATGTTAAGATACCTCTGATGTATATATAGACTTTTGCCATAAATATCTATACAGAATCCATAATTCACAATTTTCAGCTCTTTTTCAACTTAAAGAAAATGTATTCTAAAGATACGTTGTACTGGTATCAGCTCTTGGAGTTGTCTTGATTAGTTTGGAAGTCTATAAAAACTTGGGATATAGTATTTAAGAGCTATATTTGTTTTAAAATATATTCAAGCACCTTAAAAAAAGATTTTTAATATGATTTCTTCTATACTTATAAATACTTTGAATTATTACAAGTGCTGTTCCTTTGATATTTGCCGATTTCTCAAGGACTTTTTTCGCTGCGTGCAGAGTCGAAAGATTTATGGGCAGATACGCCGAGTTGCGTGTGCATGTAATCATCTTATATTGTGAAGAAGAGACGCCACCAAAGTCCCGCTGAACTTTGATGATTTCCCAAGCTCTCGGATTCCATCCTCACAACCACGGATGAGGATGTCGCCTGAGACGACGACATTTGCTTCCTAGGCAGCATGAATGAATGGATATGCGAATGAAAGACTGCGTGGGATAATCGGCGTCGTATTCAATTTAATTTCACAACTATTGCCGAGTCTCCGCGAAGTGCAAAGGCGGAGAAGCCCTTCCTGTGTAAGAAAACTTCCAAGTGAACTCCAAGAACACAGATTCGGGAGAAGCTGGGGGATGGAGGAATGGAGAACTTGGGACTGTGACGAGGGGAACAATGCCAGGGCACACACAAAACAAGTGAGCATTCTATAAAATAATTGATGACTGACTGACTCAGTTGCCTGGCAGCCCGGCAATAATTTTTATACTTCTGGAGCACACACTCACGCACACACTCTCGAGCACTAAAATCAAATGCCACTCGAAATGCTGCGCCAGTTGCTTGGTGACTGCCCTGAAGTGGATCCATGGATGTGGAATCCGATGGCTGTATGTATGTCTGCGGCAGATGCCGCTGCCTCAATTGCGTGTGACTCGAGGCTCTCAGCTCTTGGCTCTTGGCTCCCGGCTCCGGCTCTGGGTACTCCTCCTCATACTGCGTTATGTTGTACAATCGCCGGAACATCTGTAGCCCAAATGAAATCTTTAATGCCCAAGGGACCGTGCTGGTTACTCTCGGCATCTGTATTTCACATGTTGCGCATTTTGCCCACACACTCTGCAACTCGAGACCGTATAGAGGCAGCCTATTGTGAGAGATCCACGCTTTGCCTTGTAATCAAACAATTAAAGATGATTTTAATTAATCTATTTATAAAATCCACCCCCCAACGAACCGCTGTACCGCCGTCATAACTGCTCAAAATTGAACGACATACAGCAACTCTACGGGGGACATAACAAACATCTTTAAATTAATTAAGCGTAATTGTCGAGGAATTAGAAGTAGAAACAATAGTTTCCAGCTTGAGTTATGAGGCATGTTACTACAAGATACACTGTGTAGATACTTAGATAGATAGGGGGAAGGCCGCCTGTGCCTGCATGCAATAAACAAATTATTTATGATTCCATCAGCAGCAGTAAGCGGCAGCCCGAAAACTGAACAACCGATGATGGAAGGCCCTTATCATTTGTGTATCGTATTAGCAAAGTTCTAATGTGTGTCCGCCTCTAACAAATGATGCTAGTAACCTAATTTATGTGTGTTGCCAAAACTGGCAACTGGCCACATGATGCCGGCTGATGATAGCCAGAAATAGCAGTTGCCTACGCAGTGAGTGGAGGGGAAACGATATTATAATAGCCGTAGAAAGTTCTAACCCCGAACATCGACTGCTACCTAGCCATGTTAATACCCTCTTGATTCTCACCATCGTCATCATCATCGATCGGATCGGCCTCGGATAGGATCAGTGAGTTTCAATCCAACGATTTACGACGGTTTCCCTGGGCTGCGCCCTTACTTACTATCACCAGCTACCTACTACATACCTTTCGGAACAAAGAAAAGAAACGAGCCTATTCTTTCACCTTCACCGACATCTAATCCACTGCTAAGACCCCGGCGAACCTATAGGAGTAGACCCATGTCCCGGTCTCCGCTCACATATGTTGTTCGAACGCTCGGATGACAATTAATCACCGCAGGAGTCAAAGATGTTCCCTGCAACGTTCCCAGGTCCCCGTTCCCGAATTCGACAAAAATTCGACCTCCAAGCCCTAGCCCTTGTTTGCCCATCGAAGGCAACAGCTGTAAATGTATCTGAAACTCATTTTCGTATATTTTTTGGGTTGCACAACCCCTAAAATTATGGACTAGGAGTGGACGAGTGTGAGAACTCTGCCGTAGAAGAAGGGGTAAGAGTTGCGCGCGTAAATTGTTAAAAAGGCAGAAACCAAAGTGTGAGTCCAATCATTACGTGCATTTGTCAAGGCCTGAGAACTGTTCCGAATGTCGCTGCTGGTTGTCAGAATTGAGTCCCATACCCATTCTAAATAAAAAACCCTATATATATATATTGCGATATACCATTCCATTTCGTCTGTCTGTCACTCAGTTCAGTTAGGACGTTTCGACGTCCAAAGGGGATCATTATATGCCAATTGGCGATTGTTTGCTACCCACTCACCGAGACCCAACAACGACCCGTGGAGGGTTGGTAATTGCAATCCACATTTGAATTTACATTTGAATAACGGTTGCAGGCCCAAATTATAACTGTAATTGCGGCATGTCGATCGGCTGGCTGGAGTTCTTGTTGCTATATTATAATTGTAGCTGCTGCTGCATCTTTTATCAATGAATTGAGTGCTGCTGCACTCTCTCATGAGGGCCTTGCGACAGCCGCCGCGTAACAGGAAAAACAAAAATACAAAAGTACTGAGAAAAAAATTGAATAAACATTCGAAATTCATTTATGATTTGGACCACAAAAAAAAGGGTCTTATCTGTGGGATATTTTGAAGATTTTAAAACTAACTTGGTTTTATGTGAAGGTTTTATGTTCTCACTTTATAATTTTTTAGACTAACTGCTAGGGAAAATAGATTCTTATCAGTCTGCATGTATAAAAATAAATGTAAATACCCTTGGTTTTTAATACTATTTTGAAAATATGTAACTTCAGTTTTTATGTTCTCACATCATTAATATAAATGTTCTTTTGTTTCAAGCTAATTACTTCAGGATTGTGCCTTATCGGTGTGAGATTTTAAAGAATTTGTAATGTTAATGTAGAAAAGAAGAATCTAACTTCAAAGGCCATCTTTTACATTTTTTTTTTAAGTTTAAAGAACCAAGAAGAGCTGTTTTTATACTTTAAAATAAAATCATTTTCGTTAATCATTTAAAACTGTGCCTTATCTTTAGGAAATTTCAACTTAAAACATTTTCCAAGCTGTATCTTCACATCCAAAATTGATATATTTAAACCATTCATAAATCCTAAGATGGATTTCTCATAAAATCCTACTTAAATGTATCTCTGAAGTTCTCAGTATAATTGATAGAACTTCCTAATTTGATTACCTTAGCAATTCAATTTAAATTGACTCAAATTAGTACAAGGTTGATTGCTTTTTTCGCTGTGCATTTACACACACACACACACTCCACTCCTCCTGTCGCTCTCAGCAAATACACATGGCTAAGCGCAATCATAAAATACAAATAAAAATAAAAATACATGATGGCGTTCAAAAGGGCACGCTTTTCATAATAAACATTAGCGGCGGCCCTTCGGTTGGCACTGCCTGCACCTCCCCCGTTCCACGGTTCCCGTTTTGGTCACATGGTTCGAGGGTCGTCCGCTCCGCTCCACGAGGTTCCCAGCACCCCACCTCCCCCGCACTCAGTTCCGCTCCTGGCTGGCTCGCTCGCTTGTTTGTTTGTTTGTGAATTGGTCGTCTTTAGTTACACTTGAATACGTTTTGTGTGTTGTCGCCGGTCCGGTGCATGCCCCTGTGTGTGTTTGTGAGTGTGGGTTACGGGCTACTTGCTGACGGGCAGCACTTCACCTCCTCTGCTCAATGCACTTTGCACCTTAAAATAGCATTGCAGTGGCATACTTAGTGGCGCAGGAAGCGACTCTACTGCAGCAGTGTCCCCCTTTTGTGCGGCTTTTTATCCTGCGCCTGCCTGTCGTCCACGCCGGGTTTCTTATTATAGTTAAGCATCGCTACTTACACGGCGTCCTGCTCGTCCTGCTCCTTCTGCTGCTCCCGCTCCTGCCTTTGCCGAGCTGTTGTCTTAGGAGCCAACATGTATCCAGGATCCAGTTACATGCCCAGCCCCTGCCGCAATATCCCTGCGTTGGCTGTGTGTCTCTGCTTGTGTCCTTCTCTGTGTGTGTGTTTGTGTGCTTAGGACATCTGTAACCTTATCGCTCTTAGTTTACTTTTCTCCATTTACACTCATTATTTTCACTCGAAGACCCAAGGATATCCTGCTGGTATCATCACGCAAGCACACGGTTAGGTATCTCAATCCCGCATAAATATATAAACATAAACCACCGATCTCACGATCTCTCCCGTTCGAATTTCAGTACGCGCGTTTGGAAATACGAAATACGAAAACAACAACAACTGCGACGAGCCGGCGTGCGTCCGATTGCCTCGACGTTTGAAATTGAAATGAAGACTTGGGAATTCGTGGTGCCTTCAGACCGAAGGCAGCGACGCAATGCTTGTGCACTCTGAGAAAAAAGTCACCCCAACGGAACCAGTTTGGGAATTCAAGAAATACCTTTCTTGCACCACTGCTAACACTTAACGTTTTTATAATTTTTTTTTATTTTGTATATTTAAAAGGTTTTAAAAATTTAAAATTTTAATTTTAAAGAACGTAAATGGAAATAAATCTTGGAATAATCATTAATTAGTCTCAAAAGGTTATTGTGCCTATGTCTACTTTTATATCAATACTAATAAAATTTAATAATAATACTCTTAAAAGAATTTTATAATTTAACAATATGCAACAAAGGATAATAATTCTTTTAACGCAAATTAATATATAAATAATTTCGATTATTATATCGTAACTTAATTAATTTAATTTGTAATCTATTTAAACGTATGGCCCATTTTTCTAACTCCAATTAATATTGTTATACGTATTTCTATACATTTTTATTCCTTGCCAAACCATAAATTAGGTCTCAGAGAAAAATCTAAGTTTAACTATTAATATGTAATTAACATAAACTTATTTTCTGCTATCCTGAAGCTTTTTGTATATATTCTAGGACTAAATAATAATCACAAAATTAGATCTCCGAAACAGTCCTTTATATTAATTATTATTTTAAAATTTAAAAAGTAAGTTCGCTGCTATTTTATAAGCTTTTTTTATCAGTGCAAATGCGGCGCGCTCTTTGACTCAGAGAGCAACAATGAGCGCCAAAGTTAAAGCCGAGTCGAAGAGCGTGTGGCGCTACTCCCGCTCGCTCCGTCCCGCTCTTACAGCATCCCCAGGAGTTAATGTTGTTGTTGCTGTTGGCCGCAGCATATGTGTGCAGGAAGTGGGTGGGGGAGCAGTGGGAGAGAGAGACTGGGCGCGCGAGAGAGCACTCTCCCAATCGGACGCACTTTACGACGTGGATGTATGTATATTGGCTCTTTGCTTTGGCTATTTTGTGTCTTTCCTGCCTCCGCCTGCGTGTTGCCGTTGTTGTTGTTGCTTCTAATTTTACACACTGGATTCCTGAGATGCTTTCATATTTTCGTTTGATGATTTATTGACTGCAGCGGCAATTAAAGGCCTTTAGCTTTGCTTTTTATCAACTCCTCTCAGTGACATTGACGTTGAGGATGCTGCTGCTGCTGGCTGCCGCCGTCGTTTATTTATATTTTGTGTTGTGCACCCACACACCACCGCATATACGCACGCACTCACGCACACCTTCTGCGCCAGGAAAGGCTGTGATTTATTTTTTTTCTTCCTTTTTCCCTTTGGAATTCCTCAATATTTCACTTGAACTTTGCCATTATTCGCGTTTTAATTGCACATTTCATTTCACATTCGCGAGACTGCGACGGCTACTGCACTTTTTTTGCCGTTTGCCACCCGACGGTTGCGATGTGTCTTTGGTTTTCGGGGAGCGCAGCATTCCTTTGGCATCACTCACAGTCAGTCGGTCGTTTGGCTCAAAAAGTGAGCCTGCTCCCGCAGATTCCTCCCGCCGGCCAGTGTGACCAGTTGGGCGAAGTGGAGCCCAATTCAGGGTTGAAGGAGGTTTGAATCCTGCGGCGCGAGAGCTTTTGGCGATAAGAAACCCCTGCCGAGTGGGAAATTATTCATTATAATTTTATTACTCTAAATATAAAATGCATAATTACAAATGTTTTTATATATAAAGTAAATAAATAATATAAATACTTTCATTAACTGCCCCAAAAATCCTTGTACATATGTACATATGTTATAAAAAGCAAGCTGGTGCAGCCTGAAAGTAGGCAACAAAAAACTGCAGTCTTTTGTTAACTACAAAATTATCTGTTATTTATTTATTTATAATAAATTTAAGATATAGCCATTATTAAAAATATTTTTAAAATGCGTTGAAAATAATAACAAAATAATAATAATAATTTTGGTTAGATTAGGATAATACAAAAACTGACTCAAAGACTAAACATGAATTTATAAGTTGTGTCCTTTTTATAATTTCACTTAATGATAAGTTAATAAACTTAATTAGTTAGCCTGAAGTTAATTATTTTTAAAGCCCAGTGTAAAAACAGTTTCTTATTTAAAAGCTGTTGTGTCGTCATCTAGAGTTGGCTTTTAGAGTCTGTATTCCTAATACACACTCCCTTTTTTTACATTTTACTTTTATTCTACATGAACTAACGGGACAAGTAGGAAACAGGAAGTAAATTTCAAACTCCTGGCTGGGGTTGCCAGATAAGAACAAATTTCAAAATGGTGTCTTCTTAATATCCGGCCAGCATAAAATAACACAGGAACACAAAATTAAACTTTGTGAAATTTCCACGAACCATTTCAAGTTTTCCATGATATTTGGGTGTTCCTGAGTAAAAGTCCCATACAAAATTATTTTCCATCATCTACCTATCTATAAAATAGTAGTAGATATGTATCTTTTTATATATAATATACATTTTTTCTTGTTGACTAAACTTTAATATGTAAGGATTATCGCTGGCTACTAAGCTGTCTTAAAAATGTTATGTTCGGAAGACCTTTTTATTTAATATAAAACTAAATTTATATTATATATAAAAAGAAACATATCTACTACTATTTTATAGATTGCCTTGACTTATTTGAAATTTGACAGCAAATAGGAGTAGATAATAAAACCAAAAAAGCTGTTTTATTCGTTTAATAAATCCAATAAAATGTCCTCATGAAAACGCTTTAAACCGAAATTAAATAATACAATGAACAATAGATTCAATGAATATTTAAAATTAGTTCCATATAAGATTTAATTCTCAGAATTGTTTTTTCATCACAGAAAAGTTGAAAATTTTGGGAGTTTCAACTTTGGCGTCGAATTCCAAAGACATGGGCAATGGTTCACGATTGGGACTATTTTTTAGTAGTGCCGTGATGTATTGAGAGTAGGTCCTACCAAAAATAATAAAGGTAAGTCCAATTATATAGGCCACGTAATTCAAAATGTCGGCAAACATAGGTTTTTTGTATTTTTAGGTATACCGCGGAACCTGTAGGTGATGGAAAATAATTTTGTATGGGACTTTTACTCAGGAGCACCCAAATATCATGGAAAACTTGAAATGGTTCGTGGAAATTTTTGGCTGTGTACCTGTGTAATTTAACAAAAATTAAAAATAAAACTTTTTTTTTATAATCCAGAGTCCTGATTTTGAAACGCAAATTAATAAAATAAAGTCAATGAATTTTAATTCAAATTAATTTTATTTCGAAATTATTTAATATTAAATATTTACAATTTAATACTTTGTTTATGTAATTAAAATATATATTCTTCTACGGGAAATATATATGTATAGCCATTGCAGTAATCCATGCACTCTTTGTTTGTATAAAAGCGATTTTCATTTCCTCCACAAAGAGTATAGATAAACCTCTGGCACTTTTTTGTGACATGATTGTAGTACCAGGCCTTTACGCCGTGACGACATTTCCCAGGCTGCATAGGCAGATGACAGATGTCTGTGTGAAAAGGGACAATGGTTACACAGTATATTGGTAATATAATATATATATTTTATATATGTCTCACCATATCGTCGTCTGAACATTGAATATTGCATTTCTGCGGTGATAAGAAAAATGTCTAATTAATATTAATGTTTCCGGTAATTATCAGATGTGCCTACCCCTTTTAAGGTTAGTGTACTCGTAAGCGATCACAACTTCAAGGATCAAAAGCAGGATCACAAAAGACATAGCCACACGTCGCGCCATTTCTGAACTGGAATACGGAAATGTTTGTACTGAATTCATCTAAGCCCACGGGTCTTTTTATATGCTGAATTCTTATCAAAATCGGAGCCAAGCTATTCGCTGACTTATCAGCAGGTTGAGCTTTGTGACAAATAACTTGGTACCAACCAGAATAGTTCACGAATTATTAGTGATAAAAGAAGGCAAGTTAGTACTTTACATGTGTTTTAGTTTAGTTTTAATTTATAGAATACTTAACTTAAATTTAGGGGTCTTTAAGTAGCAGACTGTCTTAGAGATTTAGTACTTTTGATATCTTCTTTCCCAACTACAATCCTTACGATATTCCTTAACTCATTGCCAAAAAATATCAGTTGTATATATTATAATATTGAATAAACATTTACATATATAATAAACAGGATAAAAATTAATTGTTTTTCTTTTTTTTTCTTTATTATCTTAATGTGACTTAAGAGCATATTTATTTATACAAATTATAATACTTATCGCATTTATTTAAATATATTTAATGAACTAATTATTCTATTCATTTATTTCATTTCATATGGTATCAGATTTCTATACTCTATGCAGAAATCTTCGCACCTGAAACTATTATAAAACCGATTCATGTTTCCTCCACATCCACTATAATAGAAACGTTCGCACTTTTTTGTGACATGATTGTAATACCAGGCGTGAATGTTGTAACGACAGTTTCCAGTCTTGGCAGGTAGACGGCAGAGTTCTAAGTGAAAAGAGACATTTACATATATTGGGGCCATATAATATCTATATATATATATATAGTCACACCATATCGTTGTTTGATCAAATGAAACACAGCTTCTGTAAAGATAACATAAATGTATAATTAGCCTTTACGATTAACGCAAATATGAAAATACGTACCCTGATGATAGGCCAAGGCACATACTTCAAGGACTAAACACAGAATCACAAGGGACACTCGCACCATTTCTAATTCGGGATGGCTTTGGAGTTATTCAATTGAAATGTTTCTACTGAATTCATCTAAGCCCTCGAGCCGACTTATATGCAAAAATCTGATCAAAATTGGAGCAAAGTTTTTGATTAGTTAAGTTTTAAAACCATTGATTTGGCTTTGTGACAAATAGTTCGTTTACAAATGTTTACTGATAAGTACCTGACCAAGTAAGCACTTCACTAATGCTTTAAATAGTAGCAAACTTAAATTTTAAACCGTTATTACTTAAGTTAAAAGACTTTTAGTTGAAAAAATATTTCCTATTTTAAAAATGACACATTACATTAGGTTAGTTAGGCTTAAAAAAATAAATAATAAATTTAGAACGAAATTCTTAATTAAAAAAACAATACGCCCATTATCTTTAACTTAAGACACGAAGAAGATTGGTTTACTAGCACCTAAATATCGAAGAGTATAGCTTATACATTTGATTGAAACATTGTTCAAGGTCACTTTTAGATGAAGTTATCTTAAGAAGAAATTTTAAGAATATAAAAAAATACTTTGAACACTATTATCGATATTAAATGGATACTAAATGTTATATTCTACTCGCACCCAAATATCAAAGGGTATTGCTTATAAATCTGATTGAAACATTGTTCATGGCAACACTTGGATTAAGGTCTTGAATTTTCAGAAAATAAATATAAAATTATAAAACTATAATTGCATTTATATTCTAAGCCATGTTCTAGTACTTTTAATATTTTCTTAATGTCTTCTTTTACCAAATACTAATATCAGTTTTGGATTTCCAATGTTCCACAGCTTAACTTTTGTCTTAAACTTGTCTTAATAATTTTTCCAAAAATCCACAGAATTTTATCTATCATATAACTCCTTAAATTTCCAATACAAATATACTTAGAATTGAGTCAATACAATTATATTATTATTAATTTCGATTTGTTATAATTTATTAAAAAAACACAATTTGTATAGACGTTATACGTTAACAATCTTTGAAAATAATGCTGTTTGGATCCATGGTATTTGTAATAAAGGCATCCAGATTTTGCACCTTCAAAGCAATTCTATTTCAACCATTCCTGAAAAGAGAAAATAAAGAAAACAAAGCTTTTAAAAACCTTTTAAGCTAAATATATATTTCACACCTTCAGACAAAACTTCTCGCAATCTTCTCGTGTAGCGAATCGATTCCTATTGCCTTCACATAGAGCATACATAAATCGGATACATGCTTTCTGTTTAGGATTGTAGTACCAAGCTGCAACTTTTGTTCTACAATTTCCATAATGTACCGGCAGATGGCAAATAGCTGTGGAATGGATATATATTTTTCATTAATTTTATTATTTTATATTTGCATATAGATTACAAAACCTTTTTCCCTTAAATAGTTTTCCCAATAAAGGTTACTAGTTACTCCATGGATATAGAACAGGATCAGGACGAAAACTATGAACTGCATTCTCGAAATTTAGAGGCAACCAAGCAAGTAAGGAAACTTCTTTTTAACTAATTCACTTTAAGATAACAATCGGGTTTTTATACAGAAAAAATAAACATCTGGCAATAAACCTTTAAACTCAAAGTAAACTGTTAATAGTTGTACTTTTTTTTTAACTTCTTAGTGTAAACCTTTTTCCAACCATTTTTAGACCAGCTGTTTATGCTTTACTTTATTTCTATAACAGCTTTCTTTAAGCCCCATTAATAAATCCAAACAATTAACACTTCAATTAACATTCACAAGACACAAAAACATATTTTATTTAAATTTGTAAATATATAACTTAAAGCACAAGTTAACTAGTTCTTATACATGTCGCAGAGCACCTTCTCCATGGGCGTGTTGCCTATGGTCCGCTGAAAGAATACGGACTCGATTTTGTGAGAACTAATAGTCCTTAAAAGCGGCAACATCAGCAGGAGTCTTCCGAATCTGGCTATCTGGGCCGTAAATTGTGTCTTGGTGTGCTGCGACAACATGACCTGTTCAAGATACAATTAACTTGATGTAATAACTTAATTGTTATATTTAAATTTTTATAATTACATGCGCCTGATCCTGAAGATTTTCAATCTGCGAGGGATCTTTAAGGCCGCGGGTCTCTGGCCGAAACAAAACGATAGCCTTGAGGCAGGCAAACTCAGCGGGATCAACCAGCACGGCCTTGTATTTGCAAAAGATCTCGTGGAGGGTTCGGACATCAGCTGCCAGCTGGGGGGGGGAAGATGGACTTGCTTTAAAATATTCTAAGAAGATAGTGCCAAGGACTCACCTCCTCCTTTGTAATGCAAGTATCTCCATTAGCATTATTCTCCAGATTATTGCAATGCTCTGCCACTGAGAAAAGGGCACAGCCGGTGGGATCCAGGGGAATGCACCACTGAATGGCATTTAGCAGGAACAACTCAGACCAGGATTCCTCAAGCAGGATCACCTATGATGGCATTTGGGGTTATTTATATTATATTAAAGCTGCCCAAAAGTAAACTATAAATTCAGCATAAATTGCAGCTAACTTGATTCGCTTTTATATTTAAAATCCTACCTGATCCCGAAAGGATAACCTCGCAAAGCTGGGCAAATTCTTGGCCCATTTAACAGCCATAAAGAGCAGCCTGGCACTCGTCTCATAGACCGTTTCGTGCTGATGGGAATACAGATTGGGTGACATAAACTGCGGCATAATAAAGCTGGAATCAGATCTGCTGACTGTGTGCGGCTCCTCGTCATTGGTCACATCTATAGAGTCGTCTGGAAAGAGTAGGAAAAATATATATAAAAATTAATAAAATTGTACATTACATTACATTTATTAAATAAATTAATTAAATATTTATAACCCACCATCATTATCATTCTCCATCGTGGGACTAGAAGAGCTCACAGAAGACACACTACCGCCGGCATTATTCTTCTCATTGGCATTCTCTCCGGGCGCCGGGGAGCTGGGATCTATAGAGTGATTGCTGCTCGAGTTGGTCGAATGCGAGATATTACCACTGCTGACCAGCTCCATGCCATAGGCAGCCTTCTCCTTGGGCGAATGGTGCATCCCAGCGGCGCTGGCAGCGGCGGCATTGAACATGGGAAAGCTACCGGCGCCCATATGATTGGCCGCCAGCTGCATGGAGGAGGTGAGGTGGTTATGATGCAGCAGTCGACCCGTCGGCAAGCTGCCCAAAGCTGTCAAGGATTAGGAATGAGTTGAGGAAAACTATAACCATCCATGTGATGTGGCAACTACTCACATGGCGGCGGCAGGAGTCCAGAGCCATAGCAGGGCGGCGACAATAGCACGGGTGGTCTGCAAATTGGAGTTACCCACAGATTTTGGGTGGTTAGATAGAGAGAGGAGACTTATGCAAATGACAGGCACAGCCCACAGCCAAAGGCACTCAGAGAAATTGGAATTATAATATATTATGAAAAGAAGCCTTTCATCAAGGAATTTCATACATACTTTTTTGATTATTCAAGAGTTTGAAAACCCCAATAAATTTAGAAAATTTATGATCATCAAATTTAAAAGGCATCTTTTAATATATATATTTTTTCCCAGTGTCTAGGACTCACCCAAAAACACCGACGGCCACGGCCGCCTCGCGCAATGCCCTTCCATGTTCCATCTCCCGCAGCGTTTCCGGACGGATAGTGGCCGTGTTGCGGGGCTGTCGCTCATTTTGCACGGCTGTAATTGGAAAACAAATGCAACTAACATGAGCACTCAAAGTCTAGGTTGCCACGCCCCCCCCCCCAGTCGACGAGGACGTGAGTCCATAATGAGGAAATGTCACACTGACAAAATCGCTCCAAGGCTCGCAGGTAAAACAGCAGCCGCAGCAGCAGCAGCAGGATCAGGAGCATCTAGCGTGTGCCATTCCTCATCAGCATAACCAGAGGCGCATCCATTGATGGTAAATTGGTTTTGTGGTCACGTGCCGCTCACGCCTACAAATTGTTTTGCCATTTGTTTATGCAATTTCACCGCACAATGAGGTTGCCACAGAAGCTACTTCGCCGCCACTAATGGCGAATCCACGAACTGTGGCTATTTTCCAAACGGCACGCATAATTTACGGAGCCATAATGGCGACAATATATATAGTGTGTGAATGTTGGATTGGTAGAGTGCGAGAGTGGGAATATTCTATAATGGAAATCTGGCAATCAGGACTTGAAGAGCGCTGAAAAGCGTTCGAAAATGGGTTTAAAATGTGAGTCAAACCCACTATTTTATAACGCAGCATGTTTTTCTCCTAATATTAAAAATATAACTTGGAAAATAACGTTATTAATTTGATTTTTTGAGACTTCCTCTTCTTAATTAATTTAAAATGGAAAGGTATTTTCTCCTTATATTTGAAATAGAACTTGGAAAATAATTTATTTGACTTTTTGGGAGTTTCCCTTCTATAAAGTGAAATTTAAAACCATAAAGGATTTATTTATTAAATGAAAAACATTTGTTTAAAAATAAATCAAAGAGTAGACATGTCAGAAAAAATCAAAATTTTACCCGGGAATCGATATGGAAATTTATATTTTATCTTTGAAATTTATTCTGTTTGATAATCGAACCAATAAAATCGAAATAAGCAACAATAAATTGAAATTTTTCAGATATTTTCGATAATAATTAAAAAATATTATATTTATCAAAGCTAACCATGTTTTTTGATATGATATTGAACGTAGATAGGCTTTAACACTCAAGATCTCTTCATTATCTAAATAAAAAACGCAATAAAGACTCATTTAATATATAAACAAAGACTCCTTATTGATTTTTCTTGAACCTGAAACTGACTGGCTGCTGTTTGTATATATTTTACTATTCAAATCAAATCACTGCTTTGTCTTGGCCATCAAAAACAATAAAGAAAACTTTCAGTCAAAATGAACAATTGGGATTCACTCAAGTGGCAGCGGCAAAGCTGCATAAAATCTGTCAAAGACAACACGAGCAGCAGGTAACAAATCAATTGGGTGAGCAATATGTAAATAAGGAGCAGTCGCACCCGCGCCCGCACCGGAACCGGAACCAACCCCGCCGGAAACAGGGGTTTCCGTGGGAAAGGGTTTAGGGTTAGGGAGGAGGCCACGTGTGCCTGAGACCCTGTTAAAGACCAATTAAACCCACTTCGGTTCATTAGAGCGAGCCCAGAGAGATAGAGATATGATAATGCATATGACTATGACTATAACCCATAATACCCACCGTCCTTGTTCATTCCCATTTGAAGGCACTTCTTGAGCCTGCAGGCCTGGCATTGATTGCGATGCGCCTTGTCCACGATGCATCGTCCGGTGCCCGCCTGGCAGCTGTAAGGACAAAGGGAGAAATCGATTAAAATAGTGCCACGAAATAATCAAGTTAGTCCTGGGCGCAGGATAACGAGATTTGTCGTGTCAAAAATTGCAACATTTGTCAAATCCTGCAGAGAACACAAAGCACGATGAGGAGACTTAAGGCCAACCGACCGGAAATCTAGCCACAAAAGCACTTCAGTATCTGCCAGATACAAGGACCTGCTCTCTCGCTCCCCACCCACTTCATCGACCTTTCGTCCTTTGTGCTGCTCTTCTGTCGAACTTTAATCAAATCAGGGCCACGCCACCACCCAATGAAGCCCCGAACCTCGAACCTCGAACCACTTTTGGCCCAGTCATCGCCTCTCTTTTTTGCTCACTAAGCCTGCGCCAAAACTCAAAGATGGCCACAACGCTCCTCCTGTATCTGTATCTGTGTATCTGTATCTGTATGGCTCTTCGATTTTATGTTCTTCATGGCGCCTCTGCTGGAGTCACTTAGCCAAATGTATCCTTTGGATACACTGCCTTTGCTGCGTCTCTATCTAAACTAAGTATATTTTGTGTATGCAAATGTACGGTTTTCGTAAACAAATCAAAGAGATTGGATTTCCCTCTCCCTTTTTAGCATGAAGTTTTGTGTGTGTCTATAAAAATAATCAAATAATATGGCCATTGGACTCAGGCCATTAACACAAGCCAAAAATAGATGATGAACACATTTGTGTATAACGAAACTATGCTTGAAATAAGGTTTATAAAACTGCTAAAGGATACACTTTAAAGAAGTTTTGTTAATATAATATGAATGATAATAACTAGTTTACTCTCTTATAAATATTACATCACATGTCTCTTTCTTTTTCTATATTTCGTATACATTTCCTATATGGTTTTTAGTTTCGAATTAGATTTTTTTCGTTTTCCTAACGTGTTTTAAGCTTTCTATATATCCTATAGAAGAACCCCTAGGTTTTATCCAATCATAACAATCCCAGTAAATGGTATCTATAAATTTCGACCTGTTATTTTCGGTTAGTTTTTATGGCCACAATAAAAATGTGTAACATTTCGCAGGACAAATTCGGTTGTCCTTTGGAAAATTCCTGGAGATAAACTCGAAAGTTCTGATTGGAGGCAATTGATTATAATTGAAAACGGCTTAATGGGACCACCGGA